GACATGGCCGTTAGAGATTCTGTATAATTTGGAGCCAATGAAAGTAAACTGGTTTGGTAGCCGGCAGATTCTAATGCTTGGCAAGAAGCTATTAATGAACTAATAATTAAAGCAGCATAGGGATCGGTGCAATCTATGAAGAAAGCGAGAACAATGAAAAAGATAGACATGCAGTAACTAGCTGAAATGAGAAATTGTTTTTCGTAGAAACTGTCTGAACTAACAAATTCCTTGAGAGACTTTCACTGACAATGTATTGGATATAACACTTTTCCTCTTCAGTCTATCTACACCGATGCTCCAAGACAATCGAACGATAAATGAGAAAACATTAGGAATGGCTATGAAGTATCCATTCTGCAAATCTTAGCATTAAAAACCACTGTGAAACTCCCACAAACGAACCATTATGACAGATATGAGAACTACTTCCTTATAAAAGGAAGGAAGGTATGACTGTGTAGTGCTTTGAGCGAGTCCAGCTGCTACCTGGATTATAAATTGAGCCCAAGTCGCTAATGAAGTCAGAAGAGGTATATATGGTACAGGTCTCTGTTGTTAACTAATTATTAATAATTCTTCTAAGTTTGTGATAGACCTTAGTTTTTTCTTCTACATGCACATTTTCTGTTAAATATTCGAGTTCTCCTTGTTTTATACGTTTACATTGCTGTGGACTCTCTGCAGAAAAGAGGAACCAACAAATACAGAAAATAGCTCCAAGGAAACCTGAGCGATACTTAAAGAACTTCAAGTGTTAATCTTGATTACTTGTTAAGTAATAGTTTGCCTGCCAACCAAGAGAACTTGCACATATTTGAGCAGTGATTGGTCCTCCAACAATGCCAGACACTTGTCCTCCAATAGAGAATATGGCTAATGCAGTACTCCTTTCACTGCTAGGAAACCACTTATCAATCAAACAAAATATCGCTACATCGATGAAACTCTATAATAACGTGACTCTTAAGAATATAATCGTAGATTCACAGCTTACATGTGCCACTCCTATCAAAACTCTGAGGCAAAACACGGCGATGAGACCTATATGGGTTGCACACAATGGTATCAGAACATTGAAGATTACATGCAGACAGATGACAACAAATAGAACATTTTTGGATTGAAACTGTCTCGAAATCAGCATCGATGGTAGCTGAGCAACGAGAGAACCCCATGATGTTGCTGATAATAGAAGATCTTCGTCATGCCTTGACCAGTTTAATGTTCCCTGTAACAACCAAAGATGAAATCTCCAGAGGAAAACAAATGTGATCTGTGCTATATCAGTATATAGAGCCTTCATTCAGCTTTATATTTCATATCCTATTCTCTTTTCCCCTTCGTCAACATTCATGAATCAACCAAAATTAATACTTACACCATAGGAATGATGAGTCCGATTTACAGATCTTTGACATTTTGGATTCAACATTGCTTTAGAAGCGTTTGATGGACGCTCGACTACCATGCAAGTCAAGTTCAGAGCAAAGTTTACAACAATGAGAGAAGAAATGAAATAACAAAACATTAGAAGAAGAATAATCTGTAGACGACAACTAGTAATAGACCATAGTTGATCGGATGAACTCTTCATTTTGCCGGAATACTGCTTTGACTAAACATGGATTATTTCTTAATCAGAGCCTTCTCTTATCAACAAATTGATCATTCTTATTTCGTCAGGATGATTTCAATTTAGTAGGAGAAATAAACTTCTAGGGTAACTATTTGTTTTTAGCTTCTGTAAACACGAGAGACAATAGAATTTACACAAAAAACAGGTTGACAAAAGAATTCTCTAAAATATTTTCATTACTCTTCAGCAAAATGCTTCTCTTTTTCCCCATCCTCATAAGTATTTGGCACTTTACTTGATATTCTTTTAAAATCCTAGCCTTTCCAATTCTTTGAATGAGATCGATTTCTGCTATGATCAATACTTCCTTCTAAGTCGTGCGAGTGAAGAAGCGTTGACCTTATATGTGCAAATACGTATGCATATTCCATCGAACGTCTTTTCTTGAAAAATCTTAAGCCAACTCCTTATTTGTCATGAATAATCTATTCATTCCTTGATAACTTGTTAAGTTCAATTTTTTTAATTTCAGTTTTATGAGCAGTGCTGGCTGCTTATCCCAGGAAGAATTTCTTGCTCTTCAAGAACAGTTGTTAACTCTGAGAAATCAAAACTACGAACTACAAGATAGTTTAAGAAAGTTAAAAGCTGAAAGCACAAACAACTCTCCAAAAAATGAGGCAATTTTGTTTGCTTCAAAGGTAATACAGAGGTCTACACTCAGGCTCAAACTTTATTCCAGTTAATCAATCGCAACAAAGATAAAGAAGTTCAGCAACAGAAGTATGAAGCTGAAATAGAATCGCTTAGGAAAAAGTTGGAAACACAGGAAGAGGAGTTCCGTTTACAACAACAAACTCTATTCTCTGAATTGAAACAGGTTAATCATAATACATTCATCTACACTGAGAAATCTTGTATAGCTCTCCTCTGAAAATGCTGAATTCAAAGATTTGATAGAACATCCTACAAGTGATGACGTATCTTCTAAAGCCCAACTTCTCAAAGTTGAAAATGAAATCAAAGATATTCAACGTAATTGATCTAGTTAAATGTACAATATAACGAAAAGTTTCTCAGAAAGATATGAACAAACTAATGACCAACTGAACGGTTGTAAGAAAGAGATTGTTGAGAAGGAAACTTTGATAAGAGCGTTGGAAGATCAACTATTAGAATACAAAGAGAAGTCTGACCTTTGCTTAGTTGTCTAGTATTTCATTCTGAATTAAAGGAAATCAACGGCTTTACGGAAACTAGAGGAACATGAGTTATTGTTGGCATCTCTACAGGAAGAGCTCAGCTCAAGGGATGTGAAGGAAGCTACATTTAACTCTGAAATCTTATGTTGGAAATCCAAGTTGGAAGAGGTTCAATCAACATTCCAATATTCTCTAACAATATCATTATTAAGGCTAAAGCCGAAAGCAACACCACTAAAAGTGGGATGACTCATATCGAAAACGAGAAAGAGGAGTTGAAAAAACAACTAGAAGAATTGAAAAAAAATGAAGAAGTTCTGAAACTCAGAAATGCGGAAGTCAATGATGAACTGATTCAAGCTAGAACTGTTCTGAAAAATGTTGAAAACAAACAGGTATGTTCATGCAGTGAAAATTTGTTTAATCATCTGTTTATAGAACGAGCTGAAATCGATAATAGCTGCAAAGGATAGTGACATGGAGGATCTGCGGATGAAACTGTTGAGCATGGAAGAGGAAAAACACAAACAGCAACTCTTGTTGAAGAAGGTATTTGAAATCATCAAATTGAATGTTAACTGTTTTTCTTCAGGAACTCGATGAACAGAGACAGAAAGTGGAAAATGAGTATCGAAATAAATTGGACGATGCCAAAAATGAGCTGGACGGTTTAAAGTTACAGGAAGAGAGAGTTTGTTTTTCGCTCGAATTTTAGTTTACTGTGAATGTTTAGCTCACGACTGAAATGAAAAATTTGGAATCCGACGCTCGAAAAGATATGGATGAGAAAATGCTGCTTCTTGAAACCCGTTATCAATTGGTAAGTTAACACATAACTCAGTTTCTTCATGCTAATTATCAGCCGCGAATAAGAAACGTGTAATTTGTTTTGCATTTTGAAATGAATTTCGGTACGACCGGCTGTGCGCATTTCCTGTTTTTTAAAACATAATTTTCTTTTTCAGGAAATTTCTGATCAGAGAAAACAGTTTGAATTGGAAATAGAGCAGCTTACTCATAAACTTCTCAACTTGGAGGAAATACTGAAAGGGAAAGATGAAGAGAAGGTATTATTTTCGCGAACATCCATACTTATATACTTCACAATTCAGAGTCTTGCTTTGAAAAAGCAATCAGCTCTACTAAAGGAACTGCAACGTGCTCTTAAAGAGGAAAAAAAGAGATCTGATTCACTAGAAAAAGGAAAAGGTGAAAGGGATGGGTGGCAAGTCGTAGATTCAGACCAACGCAGCAATCATGTAAGTTGGATGTTGCTGGATCATTTCAATCATTTATCGATAGACGTTTGATGGCAATGAAAGTGTTTCTTCTGTCAGCGCTTTAGAATCTGATAACGCGGAATTGATTAATAGATTAACATCTATGCATAGAGTTTACTCAGATTCAACAGAGAAGGTTTTTCTTGAATTAAACATCAATATGAGCATATGAATTAAGGTTATTCTGCTGGAGAGTGAAAACGCTAGGTTACAGCGAGAGATCACAGAAAAGAATGAGCTGATTGAGCACTGGATAAAGAACAAACCAATTTCCATACCCAATGCCAGTAATCAAAAACAGGAAGGTAGTAGAAATGGACGTGGTTGTGATCACAATGATGGTTATTTAAGGAGTTTTTCGTAAACTGTTGACATCTCTACCAGTAAATGATTCAGCTAATGATATGAAGGAGATGAACAAGAAACTGCAAAGAATGCTAGAAGAAACGTTATCGAAAAACATAATTCTACAAAGGGTGATGAAGCAATCTCTTTATTCAAAATAACTAATCGTCTTTCCAGGATCTTCAAACCTTGTTGGAGAGGACTGAAATGTGAATAGAAATTTTAGATTGTACATATTCATAGGTTCTATCAGAATGTTTTATTTTTATTTTAATTTCGGGAAAAGTCTATGCGATAGCTGCCATGATTATCACTTCATAATTGTTTCAGAGTATTTCAAAAAATTGAATTTTTATGTTTTATCAGTCTGCCCCGTTGCCAATTTTTTGCTCTACAGTCATTGCTATAAGAGGGGGAATTGAAGTTTTAAGCTGACTATATCGAAATGATTTAACGATTTCTGCAAATAGATGTGATAACTTATCAAAATTAACGCCATAATAAGCATTTGTTTCTCATAATAATAAATTTTCAATATCATGATCCCTAATCATAGTTTTCATCGTTTAAACGCTTGAATATCGCGAAACCCTTGAAACTCAATAACACTTTTAACTTGGTAAATATAGAATGCAAGAAGGTACGGATATACCAGGAAGTTCCAGCTTCATTGAGCCATCGCTTATTAATGCTTCTATGTCTGAGATCCGCATTGATCAAGTGAGAGTTATAGTTTAGAACAGAATTGAACCATATACTTATAGGTGGAACTTGATGAAGAAGATGTTGGTAATACTAATGCTTCTGATGAAAACCTTCTCGACCACTTAACAGAAAATCCTTATTATGTATTTGTTCTTTCTGAAACTGGGAGACCGATTTTCATGTCGTAAGGTTTTCATACTGTTCCGAATTATGTTCGAAACTTCCTCAGAAGTGGGATGGAAGATCAGTGGTGCGGTTTGTTCGCCCTCATCGGCGTGTTTGTAACTAGAATTGAGCACTTCGATGATAGCCTTCATACTATATCTGATGGGGAAATTCATGTATATTTCTGCCATAAAAAACCACTTATCCTTTGTATCGGTGAGCCAGTTCTCTTTGAGTTAGTTTTACCGTTCTTATAGTTTCTAGGAGTGAAGAGCAGTTAGACATGCAACTCAATGCTTTATTTGATCAAATTCTCTCAACACTTTCTCGATCTCAGTTGGAAACAGTTTATCACAAGAGAGGAGATAATTACGATCTCAGACGCTTATTGAAAGGAACCGATAAGTATGATGCATATGTTTTAAAGTGGTACGCTTTTCTTGTTAGATATATGGAAAGTTGTGTTTGGTCTTGGCGGGAGGACGTAGCCTTATTGCAATCCGCCATAAGAGTGATCCCTATGCAGCCATCCGATAGAGACTTTTTATCCAGTACAATGGCAACCCAAATCGCAGCAGCCAAATTAGATGTAAGTGGAGAAATCTCATGATCTCTAATACTTGGTTTTCAGGGAGTACTATTTGGTTTGGTGTTAGCTCATAGACAAGTTGTTACAATGGTCAGATACAAGAAGTACACCATGCATCCACGTGATATTCATATTTTGATAAACCTGGTAAGTGGAAACACATCACTCCAGTTACCCGAAGCTCAAATCTGGACTCCTATTTGTCTTCCAAAGTTCAATGACACGTAAGTTCTTCATCAATGCTATGGTTTCATTTTCTATATTCAGAGGATTTTTCTACGGTTATATCACTTATCCCTGGGAAAATAACCCGGCATGTCTAGTCCTGTTATCTGTGAAAAGGGATCACTTTGAAGCTCTGAATGAGGTACCCATGGTAATCCCTTGATAGTTTTTTGTTGTTTTTCCCAGGTCAAGAAAAAAATAGTTGAAAAATTGGAAGGAAACACGAAATTCTTCACAAATTTCCAAGCCTCACTAGAATTACCGATACCTTTTGAAATATCAAAGGTAAGTTCTAGTTCTCAATTTCTTCCACTCCCTCTTAGATTGGAAGTTCCCATGAGCTGATGTGGTCCTTTGTTTATAAAAACAAGTCTTCACGACAAATATGTATATCAAGTGCAAAGTATGCGGCTTTCTCAGAATTCTACCGCTTACCTGTTGATTATTCAGAGTTCCTGTTATATCTAAGGATGAGCGACGCGAGATTAAGAAATTAGTTGACAAAATGGCTCATTTCTGTCGGAATGAGAAGACTCTACGTTGTCTTTATGTTAAACGAAAATCAGATAATGTTTTGCTCTGGGTAAGTGCTTTTATTAGCTCAAATGTCATTCATAACTTTAGGCTACAGAAAAATTCAATTTGCAATGTGTTTTCTCACCCTTCACTGGTCCACAGACAGCAACTATGCTGATAGACAGACTTTTGAAAACTTTGAAAAGTCATGAGCAGCGCTATTTCATAATTCACAGTACTTCTTTCTAATTACTTATATTAACATGGTAGCAAATCTTGCCTTTGCTCCTAGATAGGGAATGAGCGGGTCATCAATGGAGCTGTGATAATATTCATATTGTTTTATTTATTCATAGAAATCTATAAAAAAAATCTATTCGTTGCCCTCTACTGTACCATAGCCTCCGCCACCTGGGGTATGTATCTCCAAAATGTCCTGAAAGTTAGCATTAAGAGAGTTAAGCATCTTCATATATACCCTGGGCTGGACGTTCATAGTAATCTTGCTTCCGATGTTTACAGGATTTCGATCATCACGAATCAATAAATTTAAACCTCGTTGACCACATTCTCCTCCGAACAGTCCGTAAGGAGCGAATGATCGTCTTTCTGTCAGTATTGACATGGACATAGGACGTCGAAATTGAATTTTTCTGATGACACCGTTTCCACCTCTATACTTTCCTGCACCGCCTGATCCTTCTCGAAGAGAGAACTCCTTGAGTACCGTCGGATAACTGTAAGCCTTCATTATCGAAAAGTGGAGTCATTAAGAGCTAACCGGCTTTCTAAAATTTCAGGATCAGTTATACGGGTGTTCGTCATATGTGTGTGCACTGCACTTCGCCCATTAAAACCATCACCTGCTCCCGCACCTCCAGCAATAGTTTCATAGTATCCCATTTTCTCATCTCCAAATGTGACATTATTCATGCAACCCTGACTTGCTGCTACGACTCCGAACGATTTTAGTATAACATCACAAAGCCGCTGGCTGGTCAGAACATTACCAGCTACAACGGGCGCTGAGCTAGAAGGTGATAAGAGACAACCATCTGGTATATGAATCTGAATTTCGGAAGATGAATGTTGTTCTGGACGTAAACTGGACCTTGATAGGCGCTAGACACCCATTGTTCAATGGAATATCTTTTCCTACTAAACAACGAAGACAGTAGATAATAGCTGACATCGTTACTGCTTTGGGAGCATTGCACGATGACATCACCTCATGTCCGGTTCCAGTAAAATCAAATACTGCTTCCCCCTAAAAACAATTTTTCAGACTCTCTTCCGAATTGACCCAAACCAAATTAGTATCAATCGTAATAGTGAGCTCGATAGGAGTTCCATCATCCATATAATCAATAGAATGCAAGGTCGCCACATTGCTATCATTTGCAACGGCTTTTCCGAACTGTATTAGATGATTAGCTTCTGTAACCTCAGAGACAAACTTTCTTGAGCATATCTCGAACACTTATTTCAGCTGTAGACTGTATGTGACTCATGTAAGCTTGCACGACGTCGAGTCCATATTCTGATATCAAGTCGCAAACTAACTTTATGCCCTTCAAAATAGTACTTTAAAATAGGATGTTTATCTCAAAAATACCTTGTTGTTAGCAGCTATTTGTGCCTTCAAATCCGATATGTTGTCTGGTAAGTTGCGAGTACCAGAACATCCTGCAAATGAAAGGTTCCATTTTGTGGAAAAAAAAACATCGACCGTATACCTTCGAATTGACCAGGAGCCATAAGCATTTCTGTCAGTTTGTCTTCTTGGAACTCTCCTTTTTCAACTACTTTGAAAGAAACAAAGGAAGCTCCTTCCTAGAAACTGATAAGAAAAATACTTAAAGTGTATTATACTTGATTGATATGTGTTGCATTGGGTGGCATGCTACCCGGTACAAGCCCTCCAATATCGGCATGGTGTCCTCTATTAGCGAGGAAAAACACTGGTTCCTTGATACCTGTGAAGAACACCTAAATATGAAGAGGTATTTCCAGAATTCAAAGTGAGTGACAAACTGGAGTAATAACAGTCAAATCGGGTAAATGACTTCCTCCGGCTATTGGATGGTTTGAAAGAATAACATCTCCATCATTAATATTAGATAAGCCGAGGTTGTCTATTTGGAAACGTACAGAGTATTGCATTCCACCTTATAAATATAGATAAAAAATTTTCGTGTTTGGATGTATACCTAAGTGTACTGGGATGTGAGGAGCGTTGGCTATCAAACCTCCTTCAGGTCCGAATAAAGCACACGAAAAGTCTAATCTCTCCTGGAACGGCTCTTAGAGCAGGAGCTATGAGTAAACTGACTTTAATATTTGTTGATATAGAAGTTCTCTGAAGTACTCTCCCCATTTGTTCAGCAATGGACATGAAACGGTTGCTGAAAATTGCTAAACGGATCGGGTCTGCCTGGAAACATTTTTAGTGAGACAGGAATCACTTATGACAGAATTACTATTGTTCCTCCTATCTCTGCCACTTCTTTGTGTCTGACTACTTGTAGTGTAATATTTCCTTCTTTAGTTATGAGAGCTTTACAATCTGGCTCCACAACAATAGTACTGGAAGAGAAATGAGTATGTTAAGATGTTATAGATGCTATTCACCTATTTACATCGATGATCAGTGCTGGTCCAAGTATTTCATGACCGGCCAATAATTGAGATAAATTGTATACTTTTGTTTCGACCAATCCTGTCTGTGATTTTCACAAATTTACAATGATTACATTGCACTAAGTCTCAATACCTGGAAGTATACTTGACGTGATGTTACCGGATCAGGAGTTTTCGTATGAGCATCCCCTAAGACTTCATGGGATGTGACACCAGACATTCCGATACCTCGAACCCTATTTGAGAGAATGAAGCAATTGAGAATGAGAGAAAAAGGATACCTTATGTCATCAATAATTATTTTTCGATTCTCTAAAATGAAACCGAATTCTCTTTTATAATTCTCTCTGAATAACCGAGTAAATGAATGGAGTTCCTCCAAATTCTGAACGACAATTATTTGATCCTTTCAGATATAAAAATCTCTTACACCCGTCTCCAGTGATGATTTGACCATAATGGCACAGTCAGTTCTTTCAAACCGCATGTGAAGGAAAAACTCGCATCTAACTGATTTAGAAGTGAACTTCTGAGTATAAAAGCTATCAGGAGAATCAGATCTAATTCTTACTTGTTCGTAGAGATCTTGCTTAACTTTACCACTGAGTTCAGCGAACAACATCATAATTGTATTGAAATTTTCTGAAAGCGATAGAGCATTGTCACATATCACATAATGAAGTGATGTCCTTATACAATCATATGTGTATGTCACCAAAAGCTGTTGCTTAAATTGGATGCCAAATGCATGTGCGACCTTTTGACGACTTTTCCAAACCCCCCCCCCCTTCTCAACGTTTCATTCGAATATTCCATTATCCTCTGTCTCTTTCTTATTCTTTGTTACAAAAAAACTATTAGGCGAACCTTCTTCAAAAGTAAACTGAAGAGGCTGTTGTACATCTATGACGACATCAGCTAGAGCTATTCCATAAGCTGATAGTATGGATGAATACTTATGAATGCGTACTTCATTGATGCCTCAAAATACAATGATATTTTGAAATATTCTAACCTCTTTTTCATTTTCATACCTAAGTTTTGAGCAATTGCACATGCATGCTGTCCCCCTGCTCCTCCGAAAGAGCATAATACATGAGCTGAAGTATCATAACCGCGGGCCTGAATAGTATTTTTTCAAAAAAGAAATTAGTGAGCAAAAAAAATGTTTGTTCTTCTGCATCTACCCAGAATACCAAATTTTACCGAAATTCGGCAATTTTCGGTGAATACATTTGAATTGTTCAAAAAAAGTCGAAGTAAACTACTATATCCTGTTTTGGCTTCGGAAAAATCGAACAACGAATATGATACAGTTTGTATGCTTGTCTTAAAACAACTAACTTGAGTTATAGAACGGATTGGACGACACATCTCCTCATTTGCGACAAGCAAGAAACCATGAGCTACCTGTAGGGTATGAGTTAAACTCCTCTATTTATCTTATTCATTCAAACCTCTTCTATGGAATATTTCAAGTGGCTTTCAGTATTCTTTTCCAAATACTCATTGATTTCATCTGTCAGTTTTCTGAACGCTCGTTGAGTCGATTCTCTAAACCATCGTACACTATTCATCTATATATAGAAACTTACACATCTAATGATTCATCGGCGTTTGGACCAAAAATCTTAGGAAAATATTCTGGTATAATACGTCCTAGTACTAAATTGGCGTCAGTAACTGTTAAGTATCTGAACATCAATCACCACAATAATAACTCTATTCAAGTTTGTTTACCCATTTTTCTTGTAGCAGACTGGACCTGGATGTGCTCCTGCACTTTCTGGACCAACGACAAACAATCCATTACGGAAAAAGAGCCTTGATCCACCCCCGGCAGCTACAGTACTTATATCCAACTTAAATTGTTGAGTTTTAATTTTTTTGAAATCAAGCATGATTACCTGTGGTGCTTGAATGGTAATACCGGCAGTGGTAGTTTCCATAACATGTTCGAGTTCACCAGAGAATCTGCATACCTGGAAGACGTAACGACTTTCATGAAACATATGAAACTCTTCAGTTTACATCAGTTGATGTTCCACCCATGTCGAAACCGATCACTGGTGTCTTTCCATCATAAGAAGTTCGAGATATTCCAACAACTCCACCAGCTGGACCAGATAATATGGCTTTCGATCCAAAAAATCTGAAAAGACGATCATTTCACATACATTCATCCATTCACATGTTGCAGATTTGCACAACCGTTTGTAACTTTTTGTGAGAAGTAAAATGATTTGTCTATGCTCAACCAGCACGTGCCAATATGCTAATTTGTGGGCACAAAGATATCCAGGGGATTATGCTAATTGCGATATTCAAACGCATATCTCAAATTTCAAAAAATTCTTCTCATTTAAAGATATTGGCATTGCAATTATGAAAAGTAAATGCATAATAAAAATGTTCCATTCAAACATGATCATCTTTGGAAAAAAGGCTCTTTGATCTTTTTATGACATCCGGAGTTAGTCTTTATTCTCAGAATCAATTATTTCAATTTTGTACTAAAAAAACATATGTAATGACTATTGCCTTTCTGGGCTTTTCAATTCATTTACAACGTTAGCTCTTTTGAAAATACTTGAAAATTTATTTGAGCCTTAATCGTCTAATGTCGTTCTTAAAATATTCTTCTAGTTCAAGAACGAAACGTCAAACATCTTGAGTGACCAACTAGTGAAGCTCATGAATTCGTTAACCATACCATTCACGTCACCTTCATTTGTTTGAGGTTCAAATTATTGTGGTCGAAAGGAACAAATTCATACTTCAATTCAGAAGTGATTTGTTCAATTCACAACAATTTTGTCTTCTATCTGAACATTGAGCTACAACTGAATGCTTCCCGTTTCTTTTTTCATTCAGTTTGCTCAGCTCTCTTAACTCTTCAACTTCTTCCTTTTTACCCTTTTTCCCTTTCCCTCTCTACTGACTTGGATACTTGTTGGACTTTATTTCCCCAGAGAAATTGCTTGCAGTTACATATCTCATTACCTACATAATTCCATTAAGCATTTAAGTATTTTTTCCTTTTCACTCTTACTCCTTATAGCATCTTATAGTGAAAGACTTAAGCTTAATTGTTTCTTTTTGTCTTCGCCAACATTCTTTCACAAATTTCTTCTTTTTTCTTTTTCATTCTGTCGTTGAGCCCATGCTTTCCTAGCTTCATTTGATAAGAAGGACTTTCTCTTCTTCAGGAGAGAGCCAGAAGATGAGAGATAAACATATAATTTTTTTCTACAAACAAATGAGTATACAAAACAACGATGACAAAACACATGGAAAAGCTTATTTTTCCAAACAACTGCCCAAGTTAGGGAAGATTATTATCGTTTTCGAAGGTTTTCACTGTTTGTTTGTAGAAAATTTGAATATTCCTCCCTCCCTTTATTTTTGTTGAAAAGAAAAGAAAAAAAGAAGAAATGCACGATTCGTACCTGTTGACATCACAAAGGCCACCATCTGACTGCATGAAGTCTACACGAATTCTAGAGATACCTCCATCAAAGCCTCCCTCAAAACTTCTAATATATTCCTTTATTTTGGGAGTCAGATAAGCATCGGCTGTCACTGAAATCATCTGTTGTCAATGTGATTGTGTATGTGATTGAGGGTGTATGTGTTCGAAGAACAGAATGATTTGAAATTATTTTTGTTCAAACAGATTCACCTGTAAAGCCACGTGGGACAACCTTGATCATCGGCATTATATCGTGCGATAATGAGATATTTGAGAAGCCCAATTCATTAGCGATGTCTTTGATCAATTTTTCATGTTTTGGATACCTGCAAGATGCAAATATATATTCTGAATAATATAATAATTTTTTTTTACAGGAATGAATGCAATAAGACCACAGCAATACTTCGTATTCCTTTGTCTAAGATGGTTTGTAAGCCTTGGCGAACCTCTTCTTTATTTATTTCCTCCAAAACAACAACCTCAAATTTGAATTTTGATATTGAAATAACTAAAAATTTGTAGTACCTTTGAGCCATTTGTTGCCTCTTCTATCGTCGACTCTAGATTCAGCTGACAATCCCCTTGGTACGGTATGACTCGCTCATTAATTTCAACTACATCTTCATACAATATCTACAAAATCAGTTTTCTTCCTCATTTCTTATTTGATATCTAATTTTTCTCTTATTGTCATTTCTTTATATCTTACGTCAGGAATTTGAATATCAAATTCAAAAATTTTGGGGCGGCTCTGATTTCCGATTGACAGCAGATGGCGGAAGCCTTTTGTTATAACCAAAGCGATTCGTTCTCCTTTTCGTTCAAGTAATGCATTAGTGGCTACTGTTGTACCCATACGTACCCATTTGATATTTTCTGATAAAAATCATTATCAATAATCAATATTAATGTGTTTTGACGTCACACATGTTGTACTTACAACCTCTGCTAAAGGGTGAGCAGAAAAAGAGTGGAAGTGGGTCATTTTGGAAAGAGTATAAGAAAAAACAATTGTTCAGAATATAAATGACCAAAAAGGGGAGGAGTAATTGTGAATAACTCAGTTTGACACTTACCAGTTGGAATTGCTGTTCCTCGAGGGATAGCTTGTCCTGTTTCTTCCTCCAAAACCTTTCGAATAGCTTCTGTCGGAGCATCTGAATAATTCGCTGGATCTTCCGACAACACCTTAAACCCACTCATTTACCATGAAGCTCATATTATATTATATCATTCTTCTTTTCATTATTTTATAAATCAAAATTACTTTCAAGACTCTTGTAGTTCCATCCGGTTTGAACACACAAACGTCTGTGAAAGTTCCTCCACGATCAATTGCAAATCCAAAACCGGACATTCTTGTTTCCTAGAAAACGGTGATCATGTGAATTTTGTCATCATTAAGGGTTCATCAACACAAAATTAATTGTAATATTGAAGTTTATTGCATCACTAGCCTCAACTTCTCAATTTTGAATTAATATTCCAGGAAGCGCTTCTATGTAGAACTAAGCTTAAATAGAATAGCAGATAGAGAGATAGAGAGAGACAGAGAGAGTGAGATGAAGAAACTGAGAGAATGACTGATTATGATACAATAACGTCTCAAATGTTCAACAAGAAACATATTTATAAAATACGCAAAGTAAAATACTTAGTTGATAGGAGATTGGCGCGAATGACCAATTTATTATTATCGATAAGGGCATAGGAGAGGTTCATGTGGGATAGAGTTGATTGAGTTGTGTCGTTCGAAGGACAAAAAAAATACAAAATGGTCAGCAGATTATCGTAAATTGTACTAAAATCATCAATTTCTATTGATTACTGTACATGATGAGTATATCTATATCAGTATGAGCTATATAGTATATACATATGATGTATGTATAGTATATGATAGGAAATCTATCTCTCTCTATATATAAATCTGTTTATGCATTAAGAAATTAGAAGGTAGCTAAAGCGTGTTAGGATCAGCGGGATTATCTTGTCTATGATCGAGCATTTCGGTTCCAAATTGGATTTTGACCGCTGTTAATAAGTATCCAATGTTTCTTTCTTTTTTCTACATTTCGTCTTCTCACGACGAACTTTGAGAAAGACTTCATATGAACTGAAAAATCATTAGTTGCGAAAAGAAAATTGTGATTGTCCTTCTGAAAATTCTTTGAAACGGAAAGAGCAATTCTTTATGAATAATATCATTTTATAAGAGAAACAATGAAAATATTTTGTTTCTGATGCACATTTTGCTCTTATAATGATTTTGTAAAGGAAAAGAGACAAGGCATCAAAGGGAAGAAGGTAAGAAAGCAAAAATAATCCAATTTCAGCCAACATATTGGAGTCTGAAACATCTGTTGAAAGTTCTCCATCTCTTCTTTCAGCATATCTCAAATAGTTTGCTAATTTGCTGTAAGAATAAGGAATCACGACTAAAAATATTCATTGAAACCGAGAATAATCTTTCAGATTACTTCCTTTTTCAAAGATATTCCTATCACACTAGAGAGTTAGAGATTCATCAGAGATGCTCTGATCATAGAGGCTTTAAACATTTTTTTTTGTTGTAAGCTCAATTGATATACGTATAGTAACCTTATTAATTTATGAATTTCCAATTACTGATTCATTACTCTGCGAACAAATGTTTTAAAATAATTCAAAAAGGAGAATGAGTTTCTTAAGAAATGCGAGAAACACACATAATTCCTCTTTCCTCTCATTGCTTCTCCTTTCTAAAACTTTTCATTCTTTCATTTGAAACGTTCGACATATTGTTGAGTCTTCTATTTTTTATTGTTCTAAGAAGAGCTGCTGTAATACTTCTATATTAGGTTACAATGCTGCCAGCAATTCTTTGCATCGTTGCTATCTCCACCTTGGCTGTCAACGCAGAAATTCAAGAATCTCCTGTTCTCTCAGATGGGTATGTACCTCATTGTCATCTCAAACAATTCAAATTGAAACTTTAGATCTATTGTATACTTCGTTTCTGACTCAGATATTTTGGGAAGAGCGTTACGTATGTGCTCTTCATTTAATGACTTCAACAACATTTTTTTGTTATAGGATCGAGTTTAGACGAAGGGAAACCAAGACTCTCACGTTTTAGTGAGCGTGGTCACTTTCCGTATTACAAAGGATTGGGACGGAAGTGAGGAAAATGTGCTTCGAAACAATGTCAAATTGATTGAATCACTGAAAATTGATCAATAAATTGTATTTGTCGTTTGTCATTCTTGTATAGTGAAGGAAGAAATCCAAAGTTGACTTATATTGATCTCAAGATCATCATAACAACCACGTGAGAAAACACGTGGCAGAATCAATCAAATTCATTGGGCATTTGAAACAAGATAATGAACGGTTGCAAGAACAATCAAAACATTTGTTCAAAAAATCGAAATAAATAATCAAGAGTTAATTAAGAGACTAAGACCTCTGCCTGATAAAAGAAAGTGAAGCATGTTTGAATTCAACATCCAATCACTTCTTTTTTTCAACTTTTACACTGTTGAACAGAAATCGTTCTCTATCATTTATTATGTTTCAATGATATCTTAAAGGTTGTAGGTTAGAACAGGTAGGATAACTTATCACAACAAGTACTCCTGTTTTGTTTTTTGATACACTGCGTGGCAATCATTCAATTTTCGATTGATTTTCATTTGGTAACCATAAGGCATGATGAACGATAACGATGCAAAATTCGAAGCTTGAGGATTAGTCTCGCATAAGTCAACTTCATTTTATAAAGTTTTTTTGCTTCACAAACTAACCCTTGCGAGTTACATCTTATTTATCAAACTATTTATCATTTATAATATAATGTTCGTGAGACATGCATATAAATGATGAGATGATTGTTTTCTCAGAATTTCATAAGCAAATTGTGAACTAGCCACCCTAAAGCATTGAAATAAGTGTGGACCAACGCTAATCCGAAACTCAATAGCGAGCCTTTGCGAAGAGAGCCAAGATGTTCATGGAACTCTGAGTAGGGTGAAACGCTCCATCGAAAAAGATTTTTCTATTATTCGAGCGAATTTCATTATAAGTGACGAAGAAAAACAGAAAAAAACTTATAGAAAAAATAAGCAGAAGCAAAATTATATTTTTTCATCAAACAAAAAATTTATTTGATGATCACAAAGCACCTAGACGCTGTTCGCTTTACACTCCCTCTACTCAACTAAATGCTTGAAAGCTATTGAGTTGTTTCAAAATTTCACCCTCTCACTCACTAACTTCTTGATTGATTCTTGTCTTTTACACTTTGAATGTGCATCTATGGTCTCAATATTACTTCTTATTATTTTTCTGTATTGCCTACATCCGAAGTTCAATCAATATATCAAAAAAACGCAGCCATCGATTTATTTTTGTGCTAGTTTGCTCAATTAAAAATAAATGTGTCTTCTCTTTATCTATAATGTTTCAAATCTTCATTCAAGAATAAATGGATCAACACAAAAAGCAAGCTGAGCCAGAATCTCCACCACCATCTCCCTGCATTCCCATTTCCGGTATCCAAACTCCTAATGCTTGTATCTGTTCTTCGCTACCAATATCTAACTCTTTAAATGCTAACACATTAGCAGATAGCTTAGGGGTGTCTCCTTTATATAAACAACAAGAGTATGTTTATATTTTTGCACTTTTTTTTGTATTTATTTTTTCCTTAAGTTCTGCTAGATGGAATGCCGCAGCTCAAGTTTATCGCTCTTCAAGAGCTGTTTCTCCCACACAAGACACACCTTTTGTGTTCCCTGAGGGAGAACAATTAGCTGTTAATGTTGTGTCATTCATCAATAATCCATCTAAGTTTTTCCGTTTTTGATATCGTATAACTAATAATATTTTTCCGTTCGAGAACGCCACTATCACTCGAAGATATAGCTCAAAGTAATAGAAAAAGACATGATGAAGAAGGTTCAGCAGTTGGTGGAGATATTGGAGAACCTCTAGAACTAGAAGCTATTTCTGCTGTCCATGAACTTGCTCATGAAGTAAACTTCATATCGAAAACATTTTTTTTGAAAATAATCTCACATCAGGTTCAAGACATCAGTGTTTCTGAAATGCTACCCAGGACTTCAGATCTTATATTTGTAAATATCAAAACACAAGAAGGTTGTTTCTTTGCATTCAACTCCAGCTTAAGTACTGCTTAACAGGCCAACCATTCACACTCGAACTAACAATGAAAGGTTGGAGGATAGCATCATCTCACACAGATTGTATGTATGGAGATTATACGAAGGTGAGTAACACGAACTTTCTGTAATTTTTTTCTGTTTTAAGGTTGAATTACACACACATTATTATAAAAATGCCCGCGAACTACTTAACATTGTTTCACCGGATCATGCTACTCGCTTCAATGAATGTGTAGCCAAAAAATTGGAATTATTAGTTGATAAAGTATTTTATATAATTTATATTTTTTTCTAATTCACTCCTTTCAGGCAACTCTGAGTGATAAACAAGACGGGACTCATTGAGCTGAATTAGTATAAGATTGTATTATAACAAACGTTATGAAAGTTTTAAAGATGAAAAAAGTCCGAACTGTTCTACAGTTGAACAGGAGCACTGTGAATAAAGCTCTCAGCATGAAATCTGATAAAGACGAAGTAACATTCGGCACCGCTCACAATAATCTAATGAATGAAAAATGAAAAGGCTACCCACCCCGCTCACAGCGTTTTAATGAGAAGAAAATGAAAACCGCGGCACGACCGCTCCTAGTGTTATCGCGAACTGAACATGAAATACCGTGCCACACTGCTCACAACCCGCAACAAAGTGAGTATGAAACTCCGTAGAACATCGTTCATAATGAACTCAATGATGAAAATGAAACATCCCTCGATGACAACAGTGGATTCTCTGCTTGCTTCGAATTGTAAATAGCATGGCATTCCAGGAAATGCCGAAGGAAGATTACAACGTTTGGAAGAAAAGAAATAATAACATAACTGTTTAAGTAAGAACACTTCCAAGCTTCATCCAAACAATATTTTCGATTATCCCACAACAAACATAAATAATATACTCTTGTTCTGCTTATGTTTAGCAATTACTGCTTTCTGATTACAATGCTCACTGTTTTTAGCGGTGACCGCGCCCTCTAATTTTGAATTATTGACATATGCAAGTATGCTTAATATTACCTGTGAACTGTACTAAAGTCGGTTTTACAGAATGAATACTTTTAACGCTGATGATCTCTTGGGTTCACCTTTCTCAAATTGTAAAGAGGGAGTGAATGTGAGGCCATTCTCCCCGAAAACGGAAGCTCTATCGAGTAAATTATACTCTAGCTATGAGGTTTAAAAACATATCGAAAGAATAGTTAGATATCTACTTGATACATTTAGGATTATACAAAGTTCGATGATGAGTCGTTTCTTTCATACATTGTATTGTTGGACAGAACAATCAGTAATGGAATGAGCTGCAACCCTGTTATGAAAAGAAGTATTATGGATTCTATTTTGAGGTGAGAGACTTCTCCAAATATACGTACTCATATGTTTCTTGTAGCCTTCAATCTCTTTTATACCGACAATCTAATGAAAGTTGGAATATATCTCAAAACATTCTATTCTTAGCCAAACAATTATTTTTCAAAGCTTGTGCAGAGTACTTAGTGTTCTTAAAGAGTGGACCTGTAAGTTTTCTCTTAATTTTTGAAATAATTCGCGAATTCAGAGTGTATACTCGCATGTTTTGCATTCACTGTCATATCAATGTGGAAAGAAAGCATCTGATTCAACCCAAGATTTCAAAGCTTTCTCATCATCTATGTCACTAGGTAGTCACTGTTTTCCCCATTTATTTAATGTGAATTTTTAAAGTTTCTATCATGTCATTAGCTCTAGTCGAGTTCTCCAATATGCAAACTCTGTGGGAAAATCCTGAGGTACTTTGTATCTTTTTCATATTTATTCGTTTTCTGTGTTCAGTTGGCTGATAAAATTGTTCAAGAGCTTATACCTGAAGATGGAGCCATCAGACGACTTCGCACTGCTCTGATCACTACCACTCTGTCTGATTTCTCAGCTTTTAATCCTAATGTCAACATACAAGATATCACTAATCATTCCGAGAGTTTGTTTCCATTCCTATACTAATCTACATCATCTGCTTCAGATATTTTACCTTTTTTGGGTGAGAAAGACGTTTTCAAAATCCTCATTTTGCTTCAGTCATTCCCTCCAACGTCTGATGATTATGCTGTTCCTTTTACTCCTTGTATGTGAAAACTTTATTAGTAATCTCATCAGAAGTTTAGTATTGGTCAGCCAAACCGTTTTCAAGAGCTTAGCAAAGCCTCAAAGCATGAATTTGCAAAAGATTGATTCTCATTCATTCACACAAATGGACGCTGAAGTAAGTTCTTTTTCACTTCCGTTTTCGAAAGATAGTTTCAGTTATACCTTGTATGGACAATGCTGTGGTGTAGACTCGAATCGCCGAGATGTTCTCGTCATTCTTATCAAGCATTACCCATATCCAACGAGCAGTATAAACTCTGGCAGGCTATTGTAAGCTATGTTGAGGGGTGAGAGTCACACATCATTCATCATTTTCTGTTATTCATATAGAAACCAAAGAAATCCTGCGATTCTCTTGCGAATTCAGAAAGTTATGGAGTCAGTTCGTCTGCGTGTTAAAGGTTTCAATCTTAAATTAGCTTTTGCTGTGTTCAGAGTGAGTTCTTCTAATTTTTCTTGAACCTAATTGAATTTATCCAGTGGATGAGAAGAGCTGAGTATGTGGCCGATTGGACGGATTTATACGCTCATAAAATAGGAGACGCTATTGCCAAGTAAGGAAAAACTGATAGCTTATTAATATCTGAACCTAGTTGTATTTTACCATCTCGATCAAGTGATAATGCTTTCGTCGTAACTACTCCCAATGCACTGATTGATGTCGAAGAAGAAGCCATAATCTCTGCAGTTCTGTTGAAGTATAGCTTTTAACCACACACATCAATTTATAAATCATCTCAGGTATAATGTAGGACAATGTATAGCTGCTGAACAGTACGCAGATGCGGAAAGATTGTTGTTAACCAGCAAGAGCACGGAATCCAAGAAAGATCTATCAAAAGTATGATTTTCCCTGAGAAAAAGAGTTACCACTTCTTCAGCTCTACGAGCATTGGTCTAAATTTGCCGTCGGCACAGACAGAATAGAATTAGGAAAGAAAATGGATATTCTCGATTCGGATCTCTCAAGTTTGGGTTTGAAGACACCTAAAATCAACTTCGACGAGTCCGTCGTTTCATCAAGAAGTATGTTCAACCAAGTACTAATGGTTCAATAACGCTTCGTGTATTAAGATGATTTCTTGAATGATACCATTTCCATATTCCTAGAAGAAGGAAAGAGTCCTGAAGGTTATCATCTTTGAGTTTTCAGTTTTTTGATCTCATGTTTTTTAGACATTATAACAAATTCTTTCAAGAAAAATATAAAATTCTTAAGTTGCCCAGCCGGAAACTCGAAGAATTTGTTTGGGAACGTAAGTTTTGTCATCATTTATGATGTTTTACATGTCCTTTCAGCAAAGTCCAACTGTCTTTTCTTCTCCATTGAACGAATCAAGAAAAACCAATAACGTTAATGAATCTTTCGCGGTGATTTCCTATTTTTTTAATATCTTACTTTGTCTTTCAAGTCTGCCGATGCATCTTTCCATTCCCTGAAATCAGAAGCTACAACCATAGCAAATCATTCCTTTGCTAGTGCGCTAGAAAGTCCGTATAAAGAAGGAAACTCATTTGTGTCTAATTCTTCACCAGTTCGTAAAAACGATCCCATTCATCTTGATTTAGACGATAGTGATGTGAAAGAGGTATAATTGGTTATCATTTGTTTGTTTTTCATAATAGTTGTTTGATCAGGCTGATCAATCCGTGGCTCTTTCTCAATCTTCAAATCTTGACATTAGGTCACCTCCAGTTGTTCAGAACGAAGAACAAGAAGGTAACGATTTGAAGAGGATAAATGAAATCATTTGAGTTTTCAGACATGGAGAATTTCTACATGGAGTTAATAATGTTAAAGTTAGAAAATACTCGAAAGATGATGGACAATTTCTCGGTAGGACAAGTTTTGCAATCTCAAATCTCAAATCTCTTTATAGAAACGCAATCCTGTATAATTACCTCGGATATGTATCCACCAAGTTTTTAACCGCTAGAACTCATAATAACGTTTCTACTTCAATAAATTTTTTAGGTTTTACATATTCTTTCGTTCTTAATCTCTGTTTTGAGTGTAGGGAATAAAAGTAGTTATCTTGCGAAATACTACAACAAGCATGATAAGAGAATTTATAGATTCTTCGGCGCGAAAAGTAAACTGAAAAACCCTACAGTTTTCTTGCATATGATCATCCAAAAATTTGTTGTAGAAGTGCATTAGAACTAGTCCGCTTTAATTTCTGCGAGGCAAAGATCAGCGAGTTCATATATCTTTCGAGAGGAAGATAGTTATAACCCACTCACTTTTTTTTGTTCGCTTAGAGCTACTGATAAGGAATAGTAAGGAAAGTGGTGGTGGGAAACAGAGGAGAAGAGCTCTATTCGTTCAGAATTGTTTGAATGTTATTGAACAATCAGGACATAATGTTTCCCATTTCTCCAGCAAACACTACTATCACTTCCAAAGATCAATTTTTAACAGGAATTTTACTATCTATCGATGAACTATCGAAATAGTGTGAGTAGCTAGCTAACTTACAAACAGAACAGAGTTCGAGTAAATAGATATTTTTTTTTCAAACGGTTGTGGTGGGAAATGGGAATATTCATCACCCTTTTCCTTTCTTATCTTATTAATAACTTATCTTTGTTGTGAAAATGAACAAAAGAAAATGATAAAAAGGGAGGAACATCAACAGTTCTTTGAATATTCTATGAATTACACGTTTTTTGAATAGTAAGGATCTTATTTCACAGAAATTGATATCGGTTCAAACAAACTTTCAAATAGAATCGCAGGTTGTGAGCCTACATTCTTCTCAGGTTTTCTTTTCATTGCTGTGAACTTTCGGATATTGCTGATCACATCATTGAAATAGGATAGGGCGCTCGGATAAAGCCCCAGTTTCTCTGGAAGAGTTTGAAGCCACAAAGTGAAGAATCTCCTCACATTTAGTTCATAAAAACGATGAAACCTCGCCCTCTAATCTACCCTTATGTTGATCGGCTCGCCGGTTTATCCTATCATTGGGACATCGGAATGCACACATCGACTAGTTATGTGCAAGACAATCAAGAAAAGTCTGAAACATGACAAATTGGCGACATAGCAGTTTTTCATTCATTCAAGCGATTTCGAAACGGCAGACCATTTTTTGTGAAAAATATTTTTCGCAAACCGTGGACATTTCAAAGATTACCTTCTAGCCTTTAAACTGAGAGATACATCTTTTTGCCTCCTCGCGTTGCAAACAGAATGCGGGTGGCCAAGAATGAAAAGATTTCAAAAGAAATATCCTATTTTAAAACTTTTTTCCTCAAGATTTTCTCTTCTGCACTCCTCTGTCTTTTTTTTTTGATAGGCGGAGCATGCTAGGAGATGGAGAGATGAAAAACTTACAGAGAAACAGCATATAAACAGACAAAAAAGATATGGAAAGGGAAAAAGAGAAAAGAGAGAAGAGAGAAAGTCAGAAACAGAAATAGAGAGCACAACGACGATCGATGGACAACACAAACCACGCCCACCAAGTCATTTGCAGGCAATGGACCGTGCGGCGGATACGCACGTGCTTATCATAGGTACAGATTTCACTTTTACCAGAAATGGTTAGTTAATTATTTCTCTTTGAAGGCAATGGTCCAGCGGGATTGTCTTTGTCAGCCTTTTTGTCCGGCATAACCCCATATTACAATGCAGATACTCCACACCCTAACAGTTATATTCATGAGCAACTATGCAAAAATGAAGATTCTCTCTTAGATCAGGTAATTTGCTTTTTCATTCAAATTAACCTCCTCGTAAGAGGTTTTTTCACAAATTAAATATATCGTTTATCATCATTCTCTTGCTCTACATCTCTTTTCGTGATCTTGACCCTGAAATCACGACCATTATGTTTCTTCTTTCACCTTGAATTTTTTTGCTTCTCATTCCTGTTGCAGAATTCTTTTTTTCATGTGTTTTTTCTCGTTTTGAGTAGAGAAAGGTGTTTTTGAATAGTTCAATAGTTACTCTTTTCTCATGAATTGCTAATAAGGTAATCTGAGGAGATGAAGGTTCCAATATGGAAACCATTCATCAATCATAATTGCCATGTGAAATCACTTAGTTCTGCCATTTTTTCACAATCATTCCATGTCTCTTACTTTTTTCATTGAACAAGCTCTAAAAGAAGAAAGAGTCCAGTGTGTGATTCAAGCAATTGTCATCTTTTCTCTTATGCTCTTTCTCTTTTTTTCTCTAATCCTCTTGTTCTCCTCTTCAACCGATGATGTGTGCTTTAAGCGCACCACAGTTCGACATAAACATGAGCACTCCACTATCTCTCATATCATAAAAGGAAAAAATTAGAAAGAAAAAAATGTTAAATTGTTAAAAACAGTCGCAGCACCATATTTTCATTTAACATCGTTTCCACGTGTCTTCTTCCAAACATATATAGGCTTCAACTATTCTTCATTTAATTACAAATTGTTTACTATATATGTACAACAATCTTTTTTGTTTAATCCAGTTTTCTTTCCATCAGATGTTTTTCTTTTATCTAAAGGTTTTTGATCTAGGATCTCTCCTGGTGTGAGAATGTCGATGAATTAGGTGGATCTGGAAGACCACTATCAGTTTTATTGGATAGCTTGATCCGGCCAGAAGCTGATCTTGGTAATGATTTGGGCTCTTCCCTTTTCTGGGAGCGAGATCGTGCCAAGGAGGTACCCCACATAGTATTAGGCGAGACTGAAATCGGTGGTAGTTGGAACAATTATGATCCTCAGGTAGTATTTTCCTTCTTCGCCTTTTATTCATCGCATACTTTCGTTCTCTTATTGGTAATTTCAGATGCTAGCAGTTTCTTTTGCCTCATGGCTTGACTTACCTGGTTATTCGGTGGCCGATTGTTTGCAAAGCAATTCCGCAATTTCGAGGTTCGTAACAGGCTTTAGAGCACTATTACAACGACTTCTATCTATTTTTCTCACTTTTACGTTTTAAGGTGTCGACTCCCCTCAATGGTGATAGCTTCATATATGGAATGTTATGCCAAAGAGCTAGGATTGACAATGAATATCCAAACCAAAAGGAAGGTCACATCCATCACGGTCAGTTCAGTTAAACATTATAATGATTAGAAAGGAAGTGATTGGGTTCATCAACACTTTTTAAACTTCTTCTTCGAGAACTTCTCTCTCTGACGTCACAATTAAATATCATGTTAGTATTGAATGTGGTAAAGAGAGTGTCTTTGAAAAGATTTTGATATCGAAATTCTCTTTCCGTGCTGATGATCTAGATTTGTCATCGTTAGTTGTCACGTGCTTAATCATTTTAGCCTTATCATCGGCGGTAAAAATGTTTTGAGAAATAGATCAACACAACAAAAGCTCAAATGTTTATTTTTGCAGAAAGAAGGTAATCTTTGGCGAACCACTGGTCGCACCACTGATGGAAGACCCTTTTCCATTACTTCAAACAAAGTTGTTTTGGCTTGTGGGAGAACAGTATGTAGGACTCTTGAGGTTTCCCTTCCCGATATCAATTAAAACATAAACAATTGTTTACAGATATCGAATGAACACGAAAACAAGAATATCGTGTATGATGTGCCGTCGTTGAAAGCCAGAATCAAGCACGATATTGCTACTCGTCAGGATTATACGAGGTTTTCGCTATCAGCTTCGAAACTCCTTGAACACCGTGTCCCTATTTTAGTGGTGTTGGGAACGGACGAGTTGTGATTATTGGCGACGGAATTTCCTCAGCTGATATTGTGCGATTCTGTCTGAAACGAGACATAGCTGTGCTTCATGTAATGAGACGCAATGAACGTCAGTTGCGACGTGAGTGCATTTCTTTCGATTCCAGATGAACATTTGGCTTTTCAGACATTATGATGGCTCGTCTTTCTCCTTCCCATTACGCTGAATATCATCAAGTGCATCGTCTTATGACAGGAAAAGATCGCCATCCTTTATATGAACGCAAATGTGCTTCGTCTGTAACAGCCATCGATGAAAGTACCGTTACCCTAAGTACACCAGCAGGAATTCTTGTGGTTCGTTTTCCCTTTTTCTTTTCTTCTCTCGTTTGAACTTCCTTTGTGTTCAATTGTTTTTCGTTAATTCGTTTTTTCAAATTCATTAGAAACAGTTATTCTTACATGCTAAACATGTAAAAGTTAAATTTACAGGAACCCTTATGTTTGATGGCAGTTTGTATTGGTCGAGTTAGCGATACAGATGCAATTCTCCAAGAAAAACTTACATTTGATGGCTATAACTGTGAACAAGATGACAGCATGTTTGCTATTGGATCATTAGCTGGCGATCATTTCGTTCGTTATCTCGTAGGAGGAGCACTTGAAGTTGCAAGAATGATCAACTCAGATTATAAATCACACGTCAATAATAATTGCAATAAAGCCCAACCAAATACTAATAACACTTACATGAATTGTAAGTTCAGAAACGTCCTGAAACGTTTCTGTGAACGATGTTAGCAAAAGCTAAACTGTCCATATCTTCATATTCTAATACTAAGGTGCAATGCTATATCTAGACCATGTTCCAATTTGGAGCATTTTGCTAACTTAAGCGATTTTTTTTATTTTCTTTAGCTTTTCCTCTCGGAAACTATCCTCCCTTCTCAGCAGAAGTGTTCTGATCTCTTTACCTCAGCATCCAGTTATTCTCTTAAAGATTGTTTTGTTGAGTTCTGGTTTGTGAATTGATACGTGTAACTTTTCGGATATAAGTTTTTACGGCGAACATACTTGTAAACATATTGTATTGAATAAGTTTATTGTTTCATAAAGTTTTTTTTTTCTTTTTCTCCTATTTGCAGTGAACGAGCAGAAAAAATTCAAAAAAAACGCAACATTTTTTCTGGAAACGAGCAGTTGTGTATGGATGAATGACTCTCATCAACATCCTTTCGTTTGATTTCGCAACGTTTCCGTTTCTCAGCAATCTCCTTTCGCTTTCTAAGCGGAATACGTGTGATAGATCAATTTCAATTCTCAGAGCTCCGCGAACTAGAATAACGTGAAGATTTTAATTGCATATGAGGGAAAATGAGAACTTGGTTATATCAAATGAAATGACGCAAATGTTGAAAGGTAAATATGGGTTTTGGTCAGATGAGTTTAAATTTAAAGCAACTTGTTTACACAGATTACCCTCAAACGTCACTTGACAGCTTCATCTTGAAGTTGGCACGTGTTCTGTTTTTTTTTGGTGTTTCATTCCCAAATCTGTTTTTCTTCATCTTTAATGTTTTTCCAAGCATCTGGTCTCTAGGCGACCGTTAACATGCTTTTTCGAGCTCATGGTGATCCTCATCGGCACAAAAATAAATGTAAGTACAAAGGATATGAATAGGATGTAACAACAATTCCAGTTAAACACGAATATCCAAAACATTCAAGCTTGAAAGCTCGAACACAACACGAATAGAACAGTTCTCTGATACCCATGTTTAGAACGAACAGGAAATTCTGAACTAAATTGAAAGCAACCGATTCGTGCGTGCAAACAGATAAAGTAAACTAGTCATAAGATCCCACGTGAATCCACGTATGTTCAATGTATTAACCACCTAGTCCAAAGTTCAAAAAAGTGTTGGTCATATTTCGAAACACAAAACAGTATAAAATAGTTTATATAAAATTACTTTGTTAACAGAGAAATAAATACTACCTTTAATAAATTAGTTTCTAAAACGAAAACAATGAGCCCATACCAGCCATTATCAGGGGAAGAGAATGTTATAAATTTAGTAAACAAAATGGGCATGTTTCTAACGTGAGGAAAAGAGGAATAGCGCAGCAAGTTCTGAGATAAGTGAAATTTCATCACGAAAGTACAACTTTCAACATCTCACTAAAGCTAAGCCTTGAATATGTCCCAAACGAAGAAACAATCTCGGATAATTGAAAATTAAAAACCAATCCCAATCATATGCATTAACTAAGGCCAAATATTACAATAAAGACCGGTGGGGGAGAAAATATCACAAAGGCAGTCCAGCATGGGTAGATTTAACATTATTGTGACTGTCCGAGTCGGGTTTATTTTTTAAGAATCCACCAACAGTTTTCGAAATTAGTTTCTATATAAAACGAGACGCTCAAGGGAGGAATATACATAAAAATCATAGAAAACGAAAAAGCGCAATTACAGAGGAATGGAGTTGGTAGTATCCTTATGCAATCACAAATTGTTCAAACTACTCAACCTATTGTGAAGATTGAGATACAACTAGTCAATCTTCATCATCCAGGTTCAGATCGTCTAAGTTAATATCATTCCCATCTGTAGCATCACCAAAGTCGTCGTCAGACCATCTAGCTTCAGCAGCGTCCGACACAAGCTGAATATAGATAGAATCATTTGCGAACGCGTAGCTGGAATTCCAGTACCTCTGGTTGAGTATCTCTCATTTGACTAGACACAATATCAGGTGCGGTATCAGTGGTTGGTAAGATATCGGGGCGCGCTCTTTCTGATACGATATCAGGTTGAGCCAACTGTGGTTCATCATCACTCTGTTGAAAAATGAATTGGTTATTGAGATTAATGATTACAACTACCTCTTCTAGTTCTTCCTCATCGGATTGTTCAGGGGTTGGCTCTCTTATTGGAGGTGGAGTAGGTGCTTTGGGTGGGGGTGTTGGCGTTTTTCTGGGTAGAGGTGAAACTGGTGGCTTCATAGTTTCCATTTTCACAGGGGGTGCAATGGTTTGAGCAGGAGCGGAAGGTTTGCTACTTGAAACTCCTTTCAAAACAGCTTGACCATTCTCAGTGAATGATAGAGCACCTAAAAGTGAACTGTAAATTGATCATAAGTTAGGTTTTTTTACCTCCAGCAACAGCATTTTCAATTTCTTGTTGAACATTTCGGGTAGCGTTTGATGGTGCTCGGACATTCGCGGGAACGGGTAATCGAGCGAGCTCGCGAAGGTAAGATTCGGCTTTCAGAGAATCTGCGTAGTCTGGGAATAAGTTCTCATATCTCACTGGGTCTGCCAGAGATTCTCCGAATTTCTAAAGAAAAAGGAACAATAAAAATATCGTAATGTAGTCATACTCTCGAAGTATTTCCAGAGGAGAGTGAAGCTTTATCTTTCCACATAGCAACAACACGGGGAACTTGTGATGGGCAATGAGTACGGGCAAAGAAGGCCGCTTCTGGCAAACGGTCAGAACTGAAAACAAACCAATATGTATAAAAACATCTATCACAAATACCTGATAAGAATTTCCAAGCAAGTATCGACATCACCTAATAATAAATTACTCAAGAAATGAACATTGTGATTTCCAAGAGCTCCGGAATCGTTGCCGAGCTAAAAAAAAAGAATGATACTAGAACTAGGAAAATAGAATCATACTTTTGTTAATAAAGGAGCTGATCCAGCGCATGTGGCCAATAACAAAAGTCCTCCTAAATCACGAGCTCTTCCCAGGCATTCTCCTGCTAGCATCAACTCAGATTTCAAAGTGGCAGCCTTAATTTTTAGATGTGTGAGATACAGGGCTTAGTAATGATAAACCTGAGCAAGCAACTTCCACTTATCCTCACTATCACTTTGGAGAGCCAAGTCATACGCAGTTTTCAAATCACCTAAGCTCAAAGCCAAATCGAATCTGAGAAAATTAGAATTATTGTTAACGATAGAGTGTATGTTTACTTGTGATCAGGGTCCTGTGAAACACTGAGAGCCTGTCTTTTGAATCCTTGCTTCTCGAGGAAATGAGCAACTCGTGTGCGTTGTTCTTTAGGAATAGTTGCAAGGATCTAGAGAATTCAATTGGTTATTTAACGAACAAGAAACAGAGAGAATCTGGAGCTTACCTTGTCGGCTGAATCAAAGTCTCGTCTCATCACAGCTGTTTGATATTCCAAAACAGATAAAAGGAGCTTATATGAAACAACATTGAGGTCCTTGTCAACAGCATAAATTCTGGACTCCTTGGCCATGTAACCCAACTAAATAAGGTTTTATAACTTTTTTCGGTTTTCCCTTTATTACCAAGTAAAGTGGTCTATCCATATGTGCAATAGTAACTATTTCACCACCAACATAGTAGTTCAAACGATTGAGAGATGTGGTGAAAACAAAACAATCTCCAATCCAGAAAGCGGTCTTAACAACTTCGCTTTGTTCACCCACAACTTCGAAGGCATCTTCGACACCATCTTCAGTTATTTCATCAGGTGAAGCTCCGGAGAAGGCTTCAGCGTTGTATTTGAGAATGTAGAAAGAATCCTCTCCGCAAATAGCAACCTAAACAATACTGCGTTACAGAGATTCATACAAACGTTTTATACCAGCTCATTACTGTCACTCCAGTAAACATGCTTGGCAGAAATTTCGATGCGTCTGACAAGTTGGGCATCTTCCCAATCATAGAAACATAATGAGTTTGTTGATCTGAGAGAGAGTAATGGACCACCGTCAATTCCTTCAACGACAGTATCAGATCTGATTTGCTTGTAGTCCTGAACCAGTCAATAAACACACAAATTAAAGTTGATCGTACCTTGAAATTCTTCTTTATTTTGATGATGGTAGCGCTTTCACGAACTGCGAACATATTAGGATCAGCACCCCAAACAAATTCTAACGCCTTAAAGACCACGTTTTAGTTAAAGACAATCATAATTAAGCGACTCACTTGTCCAAAATCTTTGTTTCTCAAAGCCATGGCAGTGTACACAATGTATTCTCCATCACCGCAAGCAACAACAAACCTTCCATTAGAAGAATGAGAAAGAGTTTGTGGATAAATCTCACAAGCTCCTTGATCTTTCACCATTAATGGTAAACGCTCTCCATCTACAGAAAGATAAGGTTATGCAAATACAAAAGAAAAATCTCAACCTTGAATACTCTCGGCAGCATCAGCATCAAGAGTTTTCAAATTGGCGAGTTGAATTTCGGAATGTTTTGCCCACAAAATTTTACCAGAGGAGTCCATACTGACCTGAAAACATAAGAGTTAAAAATGAATACATAGTTTTCGATGCTTACAGCTGGTTCTTCTCTTCCCAATTTAAGAGTAACAGAGCCTTCATCATAACCGATAGCTACTGTGTTGGACCCCTTCTGAGCTTGAATACACCACACTCTCTCTAATCCGTAATTGAGAGTCGTTTCGAGTCTATAGGTGCTAACATGCCATAAGCGAACTGTTGAATCTTCGCTTCCTACATTTTCAAATTTGAAACAGAAATAAACGAAAAAGATTTACCAGTAATGATGAGAGGGAGCTCAGGATGGAAACAAACGGAAGAAACATTTTGGGCATGACCATCCAAAGTTTGAACACATGTTTTGTTCTTAATAAATAGGAATCAATCGTTTCATTTGTTTTTTGAAAGAAAAATTACTCACTTGGTAGTCCCAAATCTTGACAAGATGATCATCGGCTCCAGAAATCAGATATGGCTTATCTCCACCATGATAATAATCAACACAGTTAACCTGAATACACAAAAACGTGGAAAATTTTCAGAAATCAGAACTTACTCCTTTCTCGTGTCCTTCCAAAGTGAAGTTAGGTTGTTGACTTCCAAATTGCCAAACCTACATTATTTGTCTTTGAGAAACTATGGTATGAATAAGATATTACCTTAACAGTTTTATCCAAAGAAGCTGTAGCAAAAGTATTATTGTCTTTAGGATTAATAGCAACTTGCATAACATAATGAGTATGTCCTGAAAGAATACTACGAAATAGATGAAAGTAGGTTACACATGCAGACCTTCAAAACATTGCTTCATCTGCCATTTATTATCCCAATCCCACAGTTTGATCATCATATCATCACTGGATGTGATAATGAATGATTGAGTAGGATGTACAACAATAGATCTGATTGTATATATTAAGCAAGGGGTTGTATGAATGCTCTAACCTCAAATAATCTGAATGAGCTTCAAATTGATGCACTCTCTCTAAGGTATTATAGTTAAAGACTCTGACATGCATATCATCCGAGCCAGTAACTATCCAACTTTTGCGAGCTATGAATTTAGCTGCTCTCACTGGGAGATCACAAACCTTCGAATCGTTTAAATAATCGACGTGTCATATCAACTCTCACCTCGACAGTTTTCACTAAGGTTTGGGTGTCATAATTCCAAATATGAGCATTTCCGTTGTATAAAGCGGCAAGAAGCCATGGTTCTGTTGGGTGGATATCAACACATTTAACACGGTCTGATCGTGCAAGGAGCTTTCTCTTTACATCTAACCGAAGAGGCATGCTGAAGACAAATCAACGTGATTCTTGCGAGTATGGTGATGAATTAGATATTGGATACTAACTGGTACAAGTTCAAGTGATGGAGAAATATTAATATACGAATTAAAACATAAAATTTATACAAATAAGGAAAATCTAATTGATTGATTCCAAAATCTAAATATCCATCGCCAACTCAGAGAAAAATTTTTTGGGCGCGCCAGGACCATTAACACTACCGCCCTTCAATATTTCTGACCATCACCCATAGAATGAACAGTCATAGTATTGTTATATTTTTTGCCAGTTTTTATCATCATACATACAGTATGATGTATTGATAAAAAAAAGATGTTTTTATTGATCAGCTTCTATTCTATTTTTGAGCAGTTAGTACGTAGGAGAGGTTTATACAAGGAACTCAAATTGTAAAATCTTGTTTTTCATCTATTCTCAGATCTGGCAACTGTATCGTTGCATTTATAATGAAAGAATTGGAACATAGTTCTCACCAAAACCAAAATGTTATTCCTGTTCTTCTCATCAACCTTTTCCCAATGACTCTTTTGAACATTTTGTAGATCTGATAACTTTATTTTTTGTGTGAAATGTCATCATTCGTACACTCGGGTTAATCACAATAATATAATTGAATTTCATTTATTTACTTACGGAAACAGATGACACTTTTTGAGATCAAATATTGTCACTGAACTAGTAGAATTATTCCGGTTCAAAAGCTTGATTATCATAAAAACTTTCAGCTTCTAAGGAAATTAGTTCTTTCAGTTGACTGAAGTTTGGCCTCCGATCAGAAAACATTTTGAAGCAGCTTTGCATTATTTTATATCTAAAAAGAATTTTTTGATTTGAACTTTAATAGTTTTGATAGACATTTGTCTGTTGGCAAACTTGGGACACAGTGGAATTGTACCATGAGTAACAGATTTGATGATATCTTCAGGGTTACCGACATCAGGGTACGGTACATTTCCCAAACTGAATATCTCATACAGAAGAACAGCAAACGACCATCTGAAATTTTTTTCTTACTGTGTCTTCAGATTTTGAACTTACACATCGCTCTTGAGAACGAATTTGCCTTTGAAGCATTCTGGAGCCATCCATCTCACTGGTAAGAAACGGAAAGCTATGGCATTTTGAGCAAACTTGGGATCATCGGGTTCAGAACAGAAACCGAATCCGGAAATCTAGATGAGATTGGATATTAGTGTATTGGAAATACTAATCACTTTTGCTCGAAGTCCGGTAGTTAATAAAACGTTTCGAGCTGTCAAATCACGATGAACCAAGTTTCTTGATTGAATGAACGCCTGAAAAGACAATGAAGAAGATTCATTGTTAGTTCTATACCATTCCATCGGCCACTTCAATTATAATTTTGTAAATGACTTGATATGGCATGTATTTCTCTTCTGATTGCGGACCCATCCTGTTATAAAATAATTTTCGCACGGTTTGAGGTTAACATACGTTTCTAATATCTGGCCTAAATATTTGATCAAGTTCATATGTGTCAATTCCAAGACAGAACATATCAGATCATTCTTGTTAGTCCAGCCTTAAAGAAACAAATAAAAAAATGACTATAACGGAAATCTAGTACCAAGAAGTAAAGCGATATGGTCATGGCTTCTCAGACGTTTCATGGAGTTGATCTCCCGATACAATTGATCTTCTTCAGGCTCATCAAAGTGGAACGGAACCTGTTAACAAGTCTGTTTTATAAACTGTTAGTTATGGAATCATACCCGGACAGCGACTGCACAATCCTGATACTGTCGTAACTCCACCCGATTATCTAACCACTGCATAATAGGAGCTTTTCCTTTCAGTTTTCCTGACCAGAATAGATTCTCACACCAAAGTTTGAATTTTGATTTACCTAAGTAAACGTTAGAAACTGTTCCTTCTCCTAACATAAACTCTTTATCAATATATACACGGTCAGCTTTGATTTCCCAAGGTAGTCGTACTGTTTTACTATCATCAATGGCCATTCTGAATAGTTATACATAGAGGAATGGAAGGAATGGTTCAGATTACTTATACAACCGTGGGCTCATCATGATTTCCGTTAATAAAGCCATTTGTTTCTTTTGTGATCTTTTAACATTCATATATAATATGACTCCAAATGTAGTGACACTAATGGTCGAGCAGATTGTTATCCAAAGCATATCGTCCAAAGCAAATCTCAGATACTTAGGTCTGTGATACGGATGAGATGATATTAAAGGAACTAAAACAGCCGAACTCATGTTTTCAATAAGTTGAAAGATGATACCTAAAGGAATCCTAGTTGTACACGTTGTTGTATAATTAGTTAAATAAAAAGATGTTTGACTGATAATTTGATTATCAACTGTGTCAGACATGTAGCCATCATCCGTCAACGGTTTGATGATACTTGAATAACTATCTTCCAAATCTCCAGCTAAAATAATCCGTGCATACGTCTAATGTGATTTATATATTCCAAATTAATATCTTTCATACCGTGCTTGGAACTTGGGCTCCGATTCCTATAATATGACTGGCAGCACAGGATGGCTCATTCGATATCAGGGAAACGAAACTTCTATTTCCTGGTCTTGGTAATGTCGCTTCAGCTACGAAAGCTTGATAAATTTGATCAGCAGCTGGTAGACAGGATGAGTTTGAGTGAACTGAAAAGGTTCATCAGAAACAGAAAAGTAAGTGGTCTACCTTCATGAGGTAGGTGTTTGATACAGTTACTCAGAAACTTATGTGATTCATCTCCTACCCAGGGTAACGTCATCGCTTAAAAACTAATCTAACTAGGTAACCGCTAAAACCTTACTATGCATGGTATCGTTGTAAGGGAAAGACAAATAGATATATTCCTGATACATTTTGTTATCCGATAGAGAACACATCGATCCATATATGATTGAGGACACAAGCTCTAGCAAAACATCCTTTTCACTTTGTAATGATGACAAATAGATGAAGTTCAATGAAATCACTTTATCCTGTCGAACCAACGGGAACTCTGAATACGATTGATGTATTGTGTAGTGGTGAACTATACTCACGGAATTGTAATTCTCCTTGAAAGAATCGTCGCAGTGGCCAAATCTCACCATCACCATCATAAGCTCCAAAAACGGGAAAATTGGATACGTTTTGAAAACTCTCAACATCCAAGCTATATGTCAAACCCGCTAATTGAACATCTGTCTGAAAAAAAAGAGTTGACATGGCAAGGACATCGTTCCAGATTCGGTTCGAATTATCGGCACGTTTTTGAACTTCGGAAGTCAATGAACTTTCTCCGAACTTTGGAAGATTATCATGATCTGTGGTTTGACAGATAAAACTAAGAAACTTACAGCATTATAAGTATTCATGAAGTTGATGGCTGATAACGGAACATAGTTAGTTAATATGACAATTTGTTTTTTTTTGATGGCCGTCAATGGTTGCTGATTTTGGTTGTCCACCTGAAGACATCGTTTGATTAACATATGGAACTGTGTACTTAACGAACCAAATGATAAATATTCCTCATGATTTGAGTGAAATCTGTACAATTGTTAATATTATTCTCACAGTTGATGCGAGAAGCTAGAAAGAGCTTGAGAAAGTATGGAGTATCCGTTTTCCAATCATCAACTTCTTCTTGTAAATTTTTCGTTTCAATCGTTAACGTAGTTGTATTTCCAAAATAGAATGTGTAGGTTATGGTTTCATTGATCGGCATCAACTAGAATGTCTCATAATCGAATAGGTTAAGAGGTTGGTCAAATACTTTGGAGTAAAAAAGAAGAAGCTCATAGAAGGCAGTTGATTCTAAATCCTCTGAGATTGTCACTAGAATGAAAGAATTGGTTCCTATTGTGGGACATGCTAGATCGTTGTCGTTGTACGTTACACCCTTTTCCGAAGTTGAATTATTGGCATCTCGTAATTTGTTTGTTGCTGGTTTATTTATATAAGCTCCTTGTGTCGATAGAACTGTTGTGAGTATGAATATGAGTAAGATAGAGCTGCTATTCGAAAATAACATCGAATGGATTAGATCTCTTGATAGATTGATCACGGCTTCACGATGCAGAAACGAATATCTGAGATTGAATGGTAATGAGAATGAGTTGTAGAGAGGTTACAAGATGATCTGAGATCGTTATTTCAGAAAAACGTTTTTCAACAAAGATAATGAACTTAAAATGATAAAAATGCTTTATAAAGACACAAGGACATCTGTGATAAGTAGCAAAATGGATTAATTACTTAGCCCTGACGTCAGAAGACAAAGCGTACATCAAATTTTATTTTTAAGTTTCGTCATTCAAAAAAAAAATTTTCTTCTCCTAATTAAATATGAAAATGTAGAAACAGTTCTTTGTCAGTTTATCAATTATCTTCAATTTGTGATAAAAGGACTTAAGCACTCAAATTTTAAGAAAACATGTATGAAAATGACATAAAATATGCAAGCTTCGTCTAAAGTACATGAAAATTGAAATTTCGAGATAGTTTGTTATGATTGGTTTACAAACTGACTTTCAATCCAAGAAAATTGTGAGAGAGTAGCTTTGGTGATAAAATACAGAGACGAACACTGGTTTTTCTTGGACATTAGCCTTATTTGCAATGTCTGGAAAATCATCAAAAAATTTAAAAATTTATAGCAATTACATAATGATGTAATTGAGAATTAAATGAAATAGCTATCTGATAGAGAGATGTGACTCTGCTAAACGTGCATATGCATACGAAATTGCACGTTTAGAGCATTGAGTTAGAAGCATATGAGATGAGTAATAGCAAAGAACACATGATTAACATTAGAATATTTTAATTTTCTTTAAAAGTTATCAATTTGTCTCTTTTTTTTTCTTTGATTTATTTCACATAAAAACAATGAAAATCAGAAAGTTCTGATAAACGGATTAAAAGAATAACAATTATTTTGATTGCAATCAAAGGAAAGTTATGATTGAATTAATAAATTTCGTTATCATTTAAACTTTATCATTAAATGTCTTATCAAGTAACGGAAGCTAATTGGAGGCTTGAACATTCAGGTAATATAATATATGAGGTCGTGTGTCTACATTCTTCACGAGATGATGTCTGTTAATCAGCAAAACCATTATTCATTCACATATCCATTTATAATATTTATATTATTGATAATAAAAATGAACATGAAGTACAAAGAAAAAACATTTTATTAGAAGATTTCATAAGATTGCAAGAGAAGGAAGTAAGATTCATATCTTCTACCTTCTAATAGTAACTGTGTGTGTGAGCATTGCCAATGATGAAACAACAATTCATTTACATACAATCAGAATCACAATGTGTGTGTGTGTTGGATGATTCAATCATATAAACTATAAATTAATAAAGAAAAATATAAAATGTAAACCCAAATAAGGAGAGACTAGATCAAGTCTTTTCATAGCTATTATGGTAGTACTAGATCATATATAATCACATGATAAAGCCATGACATATTGGAAGTGTTATGTTGAGCATGTAGCTCATCTGGATATGTTTAGAAAAAAAAGATTTTTTTATTAAAAATCTTTTTCTTTTTCAACATTTGTTGCACAGAAAAACTTATTTTGATCTTTTGTTTGCTTTAATTTTTTTTGTTGTTGCTTTTGTAAAGAGACAAAGCTTGAAGAGATCATGAATTGGAAGACTGCGTTGAGCTGATTTTTCCTTCACTGGATGATGGAGAGATTTTCCAAGTTAGAATTTTCGTGATTGAAAACTGAAATATGATAACATGAAGTATGTAGAATGAGGTGTGTTTCAATGATTTTGTTCATTTTGTTTACTTTTTGTTTTGGAAATATTATTTTAAATCGCTTCGCGTCGCTAAAATGTCTCTAAACGTTACCAACAAACATGCGCCTTGTTCTAAAAGATAGAAAGATATGAGATGTTATTGGAAAAGACATAATGAGAGAGAGTAAATGAAGAAATACCTTTGATGATGTATCTCCAACTTTTGGTTTGAATACACTATTGTAGATATTTGTAAGAGCACATAGAAAGACTGGAACTATAACTAATCCGTGAATTAGACCAAGGAACACAACAAGAACCATTGTCTTAACGAAAACCTGCAAAATAGATGGGTATTAGAGATTGGATCCGAGAAAAATATATTCTTGACGTACCTCACTCATGTATGTTTCAACAAATAATAAACAACAAACAAACAGGATCGTTGAAATACCACATTGGAGAAGAGGGAAACCTATGGCTGCCATTGCTCTGAATTTTTCTGTTTCCGCGCTTTCAGTTTCATTCAAGTTACCTGGCAACTCTCTTGGAAGGAGGTGAATCGGGTTCTTCTAATCCTTCACGGAAGTAATGGAATGTGATGTGAGCAGGGAAATCTACTGAGAATCCAATGGACATGATGGTAGTGGCCATGGATATTGGATCCAAATCAATCCCCCACATAGACAAAAATCCAAAGACTCCTTAATATTGAGGCTTTAGAAACTAGTTCATATCAAGTTGGTATACCTATGCAGATAGAGCAAATGGAAAGAGTTGCAACAACAACTGTGAACACATTGTACATGAAGAGGAAACAGACGATCATCATACACAGAAGTGTACAAGCAGAGGTAGAAATTGTTACTGGTAATATAGTTTCCAACTGGAATAAGTTATTGATAGTCAAGTTCATTCTCTACTAGACTCACTTGGTCGATGAATGGTGAATAATCATCGAAAACAGCTACTTGGAGGTCTGGGAAAGAATCGGCAGTTGCACGCCATCTGTAAACAATTTGATACTTTCTTCCTGTTTCTTTCCCTCTAACCTCTTAAGCATTGACTTTCTTGATTGGAAGTTACCCAACATACTTCCATGGTAAGAGACTGTAGCCCAGAATCTCTCAATCCTTCAAAAAAGTGAATAATTATCGGATTTGTGAAAAATCATTACATTCCAGTTTTGTTAAAGCGAACAAATCCATTCCAATATCTGAATTCAGGCCAAGAGAAGAAATCGTTCATTGATTCTCGAGTGAATGTTTCTTCTTCTTTATGAGTTGATGAAGTAAGTCCCGTTTCATCTCGACTTGCTTCTTCCATTTCTTCAGAAATTTCCAAAAATGATTTGTAATCTCTTGAAATTTGACAAAATTCATTAAGTTACGATTGATGGGAATTCAGCGAACCTCACAAAGTAGTGACTGAATTTAGGTCCAAGGCACTCAGGGTATGATTCGAACTGTTCAATTAAAGAATTGGCTTGAGCTAAGCGTTCAGGATTCGACAGATCTCCAGGCTATAACAGGAACTTGAATTTGTGTCAACTCAATAGACATACATTTTGAACAAAAATATTGACAGTGGTGTAGTTTTGTAAAACATAGTTATCACGGAGGTGATTGATCTGTAAGTGGTTAAGATTGTGACAGAAAAAAAATTTCAATTACTTGAAGTAGAGGAGAATCACTCAATACTAGTTTATCAGGTGACAGGACAATATTGATACTTAAAGCTCCACGCAAAGTTGTGTACCAATATATACATAACACAAAGAACATTAAAGCTGCTGTGAACTTGCTAGCAATCCATTCAGAATAATCATCTAACAAGTGAAGGTACTGTAACGAATATAATGCATTGAAGTGTATTTATATGAAGACGTACTTTATCAAAACGTACGCTGCTCCATTGTACTGTTTGTTGTCTCTTACTTTCTTTCCTCATCTCCATATCACCTGTTATGGATACTAAGGCACTATACATAGTAATCTACAAAGAAATATTTTCTGCTTTTCTGTGATCGGAGACCTACTTGATAAACATAATCAAACACAATGGCTACGGCGTTTCCTATACAGAATAATTGAATTTCGGGTGTTGGAGTGTAAATTCCGATAATGAAAGCCAAAAAATTGGTAAGTGATGTGATGCTAATTGATGGTCCAACATCTACTAACATACGTGATACTCTGAAGAAAAATAAACTTTTAAGGTTGTTTCTGATGACTTCTTTACCTTTCACGCTTCGTTAGTGTGGGATCTTCATTCGTTATTCTCATCCATGAATGAATTGTTAAGTAAGAATCATCAACTCCAATGGCCAAGATCAGGAATGGAGTCACACAGAGAATTGTTCCAAAACGGAATCCGAGCCAGAAAAGAGCCCCAAGAGCAGATGATGTTGCTAATAGTGGACAAACGCATCCCAATACTGCTTGTGTTATCTTGTGATAGGACCACTGCAAGGTTCATTAAATTAACAACAATGAAACACATCTTGACTAGTTTTGATAAAGCTCAATGTTGTTCAACGTGCGAAACCCTACGCATCTACGCTATTTCACTCTCTCAATCACTTGCTCCAGGAACACTTATGCACGTCATTTCATTTTAACCTTCACGTGCGCAGTGAGCGGTAGGATACACGAATTCGTTATCTCAAAAATTCTCCCAGTGAGCGGTTGTGCAAATTTTCGTGGAACGCCCGTGACTTTCCAACACTTACGCTGAGTCTAAATATTATTGAAATGCAGTACCTGTCCCATTTTAGAGCTGCTGTAGTACACAGTTATTATAGAGAATATACTCATGATAGAGAAGCCAACAGCAAGATAGGGGAAAATGGTCAGACCTGTTGTTAAGAATTATGTAGTGAGGGTTTGTGAAGTGATATACTCACCAGTGCGTACGATTTCATCGGCAGTATAAGTCAGAGACATGGCATAGATGTTTAAGTAGTCAGATACGTACTCTCTGGAGATAATGCTATGCTATGTTTTCATGATTATGCTTACTTATGGAAGTAGTGAGAAATCTTTCTCTCGTATTGAGCAACATCATCTCTCGACCAACCCTGTGCAGGGTTAGCACGGAACTGCATCATGATGAGCTTGAGATAGTTTATCGCGTGGCTAGTTTCATTTGTTTGAACACCAAAGAAACTTGGGCTCAGATCGAGTTCTTTCCCTAATACTTGCATTGTGGGAAAAGTTAAAGTAATTCTTTCTTCCGTGAGACTGTTGTTTGAGAACTGATGCATAGCCAAACCATTCTGAATTCGATCAGTGAATACGTGTCAGTGATGTTTGAACGTACGTAAAATTGCCGTACAGGCTCATTAAGCTGACAGAAATCACTACACAATTCTTCGAATGTGTGACCATCGTGAGTAATGTTGACTGCTATATAATCCAATACTCGTATGGCTTCTTCTAACTCGTTCAACCCAGCCATTGACCCTCCATTCTTGGCTGTGATAAAGAGAAATACAGCAATGGGATCTCCTTTAGCCGCGAAATAGTTATTGTATGCAGCGATTTCATCCCGAGATCGTGCCCCAAATGGTGTGTAGCCTTAAAAAATATTTTTGTAAATCATAATTCTTTGGAATTCAAAGAATGTTAAGATATGATGCAAGTCGGAGGCATTTTAATGAAATTATCATAAGCAGCGTGTTAATATCAGACAGGTGTCGAACAGGAATTGTTCATAAAGAAAGTTCAGTAGGCAAGCGTCTGAATAGAATAATCTGATGAACTATTCTTCCTTCACTACTTGTCCTTCCGTCCACCGAAATGACAAAATAGAAAGCAAAAAAAACGACTGAAGAATGAGAAGCAGTAAAGAGTAGATGGATTACGAGAAAAGAAGAACGGGGGGGGGGGGGGGGAGAGGTGATGATCGGTGAGTTTATGTTACTAATATTTGTAAGAGGAAATGATAATTGTTTGTGATGGACGACAAAGGGCATGATGAGATAGAATGTGAATATGAGAGAGATAGTTAGAATAAGAAGAGAAAAAAAAAGATAAAAAGAAATGCTGAATGTGGTTTTGTTACATAAAGCCGCAATATAGTGTCTCGATACAAACCTGTTTTGATGTCGTCTTCTTGCTTTGTGAAGGCTATTTTGACAGAACATAGAATGGTAAAAGCAAGGCTGACCTGCAATGAAAAACGATTTGATTTGAATGGAAAATAATAAATAACAATGAAAGATTATTTCTATTTTAATATTTTTTTGAAAATTCAGGGATTAATCTTCGAATTATCAGTTTCACTTATGTATTTAGAAAATGAAAACAGTTCCGTGCCCTTCGAACTGTTGAACAACAATGGATTTGAGTAAAGCCTGAGACTTCTATGTGTGCTTATACTTTAAGCTACCTTCCTTATAGCATTTTATATTTTTGTGTATTTTTCATGAAAATGATCGGAAGTAGAGTTTGTCCCATCCATTCTCTGACTTCATCAATCAGGTATTTTAACTTTTTTTTATTTATGAAAACTATTTAGTTTTTCTTTCGCCTAATTCAATCAACTTCATACATGTTCCTGATTAGTACGTTTCACGAAAGACGAAATAATCAGATGTGTTGTGAGAGGGGATCATTCAATGGATTATCAACTATAAAATTGAATGAAAAACTTAATTTTATACTTATTTAACTAATAAGATCATGATCAACTATGGTGATGGGTTCTAACGGCTAGGTTGTTGGGGGTTACGGAATTCTATTTTTAGACGAATACAAGAGAGAGGTTGAGAGAGACGGAGAGAGTTAACGGAGAAACAAACGGTAGTGAAGATGGCAACAACGTGTTACGTGGGCAAACTTGCCTTCTTGTAAGTTTTTCTTTTCTCATAAGTACAAAATATCAGAAAAGAAAAGATGAAAGATGACACTTCTGATCCATAAAAAATAAAATTGAATCTATTCGAAACAGGTCAGATGTGGAAGAAGAGAATGGAGCAAATTGCCCGTTTTTATTAAATGAAAAAAAAAATTTGTTCACAGATTTTGATGAAGACCAGATTGCATTTTGATATCATTCGGAGTAGAAAAAGTAAGATATAATCGGGTCTGGTCATTCTTCCGGTTGCCTTGAGTTATAGGCGAACACGAAATGTTAAGAGAAGACAGATGTGGGGGTGGTTGAACAATAAGGAGGATAAGAGGAAGTCGATCAAGAATAACAGTCCGTAGGAGGGAAAGTTAAGTCAAAACTAGAGAAATTTAACGGCTTTTACGACTATAACCCTGCGGTTTGACATGGTTCTTACGATACGATTCAAGAAGTGGTTTTCAGCTGTATTTTCTGAAGTTTTTGCACGGTTTCCTTACTAGCCAACGGATATCTTGGCTTTAATGTCGCTTTCAGAATAAAAAAAGACATCTTATAGTATTCTACAACCGTTTGTAGTTCGTTCGAAGCCTCTTTACCTCTTCTTTTATGACTTAAGCTTAGGATGCCCAAAATGAAGCCGTTAAAGATTTTTTTTACGTCATCTGAACAACCTTGAACTTGATTGGACAGGAAAAGGAAAAACTTCGTTTGTGATTCAAACGATATTGATATGAAGGCGAGAAATGGTTATAAGACACCTTGATTTCCAGATCGCATCAAAATTAAAAAAGTATTGGCTGTCTCAAAACTGTTTTGTAAGGATAGATTATACAGCATGATCTTAATGAATTACGAGAGATCATTAAAAGTGATCCAGATCTTTGTAATGCCTTTTCCCCCTTATACGGATGTTACTGCTCGACCACGTTGTCTACAATTATCTCATTCAATTCATATTATCAACCTTATAACATTCGAACATTAATTTTTGATGGATTGTCATCGACGACAAAAAAAGACGTCATTTTCATAGAATATTTGAAAGATGGAAGACAAAAGTTTGAGATGTGGAGTATGTCCAACATAGATCTTACTTCAGCTCTTGATCAGGCCACACCTATGATGTAACACAGTTTCGTGTTTCATGATTGGTTACACAGGTGTTGATATATGGAGAGATATATGCACGTATACGTAGGAAGAAGAAGAGAGAATAAGAAATATAGTGATAGAGAGAGAGAGAAATTGTGATACCTTGGAAGAAATTAAAAAAGTTGGCGACTTCCATAAAATTGAAAACATAGGTCGAACAGTCAAATAAGACCCAAATTCATTCTTCATCAACCATTGCCTTCCTTGTACTCTCTTCTCTAATACTGATATAAAGTATGAAAAATTTCTCTTACAAAACCATAATTGGAAATGGAAGTGTTAAGGTCTGATAATCCAGAGAGATGTTAGGAGAAGAATCGGATAGAATGATAAAATATTTGTCTTTCCCATTTGAAACTGAAAGTGGATAATCCTCGTTGAGAAGTCGAATTTCATTCGGATGTTCGAATGCGAAAGTTGCAGCTGAAGTTGAGACAGAAACGACTATGAAGATTACGAGAGAGAGCGAGAGAGAGAGAAAGGGAAAGAGAGAGAGAGAGAGAAAGTTCCTTTTTTTGCTGAATATCCATAAGATAACCCCTATTCTTTGCAAGATTTTAAAGAGAAGACGAAGTAATGGAAAAAGGGATGGAAAATGCAAAAAAAAAGAGAACAGTAGAAGGGGAAAAGCTGGTTATGATGTGACTAAGAGGACAGCGTTAGAGATGAGGCTTACTGTGCTTCATTCTATGAATGGCAAAAGAGACAAAGTGTAAACTAAATGAAGAATTATCAGTGATATTTTTCATGAAGATGAAAGATGCTTTGACTGTGTTTGTAAATGATAGAAGGACACTCTCAATGCCTGCTTAGTTCAATGACGTCTTTGAGCTTCTTCGGACAATTATACAAAAACGACATCGTTTGTCATTAATCACACATAATATTTCAAAAGACTTTTATGTATTATCTGTGTGATGGCAGATGAATGATATGTGAATCTATGTGATGGCATTCGGATAGTTCGGCAAACTCTTGGGCTAGCCGGTACAGAAAAACGGCCTTGTAAGTCGCCATAACCAATAAAGAAATCTTTTAAAAGCGAAATGACAAATAAGAATATCATTGTATAAAGCTGAGTATAACGTTTTCTTGCCCAATATGCGCTATTTTGGTCGAATAAAAAAATGGAAAAATAAACAAGGCAATTGAAGAACATCTCCATTGATACTTGACCAATGTATATAGAAATAAACAAAATAAAAAATAAATAAAAAGAAAAGGAAAGTTATGATAGAATATCTCTTGATAATCAGAAAAGTTTTTTGATCAGAAAATTTCAGATCTGACCTATTGTTCCGAAAAATTTCTTTTTTTTTTTGATTCGCACACGAACATGTATCCAACTGAGAATAGTTACTTACCCATAGCACTAGATGGTCATGATCAGCTACGAAATATCCGAGAATTCGAAAGAACTTGTTGAGCAGACGAACAAAGAATGGAGGTGGCACCGTCGTCATATCTTCTGAATTCTAACGTTGTCCGCCTCAGAAGGCGTACGTACGCTTAGACAGAGATTCGAAATTTAGAAACGAATTGGGGCGGAGTTTGTGACGTTTTGTGTGTTGTGGTGTGGTGGTAGTGTCGAAGAGAGATGGTAAGGCGATGGTTGAAAGATGATGTGAACAGTGGGATAATGACGACAACAGGAAACGGAGACAAGAAAAAATGGATGGAAAAAAGAGAAAGGAAAGGTTGAGAAAGTAACGAGAAAAAAAGAGATTGAAGAGAGAACGAGACAGAGAGAGAGTGAGAGAGAGAGACTGGATGGCCTGTATGTAAAGAGATAGAGGGAGAACTGATTAAAAAATAGAAGTATTGTAGAAAAAAGATGAAAAAAGCTGTCAAGAAATGGTAGAGGAACGTTGCCTTAGGGAATATGACTTCTTAGTTGAAGCATCAATTACTCATGTGATGTTTCGACGCATAAACCTGTAAAAACTATCTTTGATTACCCTTGCCAATAGCTTCTGTCATTCGGAATATGACAAGAACAAGAGTTTATGCTATTGATAGTGTAATTTCTCATAAATATGAAGAACTCTTTCTTCTTTTCTTATGCTTTTTGTGTTGTACGTGTCAATTTCACACATGCCATTGATATCATTAGAGTCTGGTTGAAGCCCTTTGAAGACATAAGCTTGTCAGGTCAATGATATGACACGGAAAATCATTTCCATTTATAGAAACAATCACTGCATTCTCGCATGAAAAACGTTTCAAGAGTGCCATTAAGAGAAACATTTTAAAGAACATTTGCCTTTTTAACGAAAAAAAGGAAGTTCAGGGCTTTTCCTTGCGCCACTTCTTGTATTTTGGACGTTGAACTACCTTCTATGGCTTAAATGAAACAACTCTTCGTTTCTCAGTTACTCTCTCTATCCCTTTATCTCTCTCTCTCTCTCAATCATTTTTGTCTGGAAAGTCATTGCACTTTCGCGTGTTGTTCACGTAAATTTCGTGAAGGTTAAATGCATACAAAGAAGTCTCTTTTAGTGGAAATGACTAGAATGAAACCGTTTATGTACTGTATTTTCTCACAAGGAAATTCACATAAATCTTCAATCAGAATCTGGTATGTTTCACAATGATGGTTTTGATGATGAAGAGATAATACAATTGAATGATAATTCTCAAGTACAAACGTACGCAAGCAGACCATAGGAATCAAGGGCTCTCCTTCGCTCCATACTCTATATAGCGTTAATAGCGGAAATTCCTATAATGCTAATACAATACATAAACTTATAATTGAAAAAAAAGTGAAAATAGTTTCACTTTTCACATTCATAATATCACATTCATACCTCATCGGATAGAAATGATGATTTGAAGATGAAAAAAAAAAAGATTAAAAATCCAAAAAAAAGGATATAAATAGGCCATGCCCATTGACTTGTAATGATATGTATGCCTGTAAGTCCTCTTAGTCCTCCTTTTCTTCCTCAATCTATTGCTACGCTATGTCCTTTCCACTCACCTTATTCTCACTCATTTTAACCGACCGAATAGGATACTGTTGACCCTCTACTATCATTTTGAAACCTCGAAGCCCTTCGAGTGTATTCTTCATTCTTTATTTGAAACATATCCCCACTACCATCATGACACTCCAAGTCAATGCTCAATTTGATAAGGTATCTTGTTTAATTTTTAAATATTAAAAAGTTTTTTTTCTTAAATTTTTCATAAAATTGTTGTTCGAAATATTTTCCTCAAGGAGAAATGGCAATAGCCTTGTCCCTAATCCCTTGTTTTGATTTAAATGAAGAAAATGTTGTGTGAAACTTACTCTATGTGTTGAACTTCAGGCTGATGAAGAGCTTGTATTTCGTTATTCTATGAAACATGTTGGAGGCTTTCAGCTTATCATCTCCTTATTGCTCATATTAGTTTCTATGTATAACCTTATTCTTCCATTCTCAGTCATTGAAGACAACTTTATGAACAGAACATCGTTCATTGTAGAGAATTACAAGGTATATCATGTGAGATAGTATAAATCGTAAAATCTTATTGTTAGGTATATCCGAACGGTACGCGATATGTTTGGTTGCCTGATGAGGAGACAGGACAAGAGAGTCTACTACTTCTAGAAGAATGGGTTGAACATTACAAATTAGGAAAGTTCATGTACGCGTTTGGAGGAAACTTCAATAACTATTGCTGGGTGAGTGAGAAGTATCAATTGGTCACTGAGTCAAATGGTTTAGCCACGTGAAATTCCTGATGAAGACTGGGTGAAGTCATTACTTCGAAGCTGTCAGCTCAAAGCCATGGTTCAGGTACAACAATTCAACAAAGAAGAATGTGGTTTGTAAAGTGAGATGTTAAGGTGCCATTTCGAGTTCTAACCCTACTGACCATCGCTATCCGCATATTCGAAGTTATTCTCATTGGTAGCAACAAAACATTTCAAAAATTCTCAACATTCATATTCTCATCGTTTGTTCTCAACGAAATCATCCATAACATTGTCAAGTTTGAAACAGTCAACTTTCTCATTTCTCCAGATGACAATTGTATTCGGCGCTTCCTTTTTACGAATTCGAATGTTTATTTTTCAGATTTATACGTTTTCATACCCGTTTTGCAACTTTTACATTTCACTTTTGTACTTAAAATGGTTCTTTCCAGTTTTTACGCTGTAGGTTGCTTATCTTTAAGATTTTGAAAGCTTTCATCTTACAGAAATCTGTTGGTTTTATTTTATTTCGTATATTCTTGGGTCTCCTCTCACTCCAATGCTATCACGGAATCATGTCTTCCGCGAGAGATTTCTTGGAAAATCCATTCTGCGATGAATACGGTTTGCATACTCACTCGTAAAGTAGATCGTAATTTCATTTCTTTTCTTTCTTTCAGTGAATCCCGGATGGGCAGTTTCTGAATTCGGATTTCTCCTGATTATCATGGCAGCATCCATAGTTGATGTTATGGATTGTAAAAACTATGAACTTGTTCTCAAATTCAATGCCTTAATATCATTTCCGAATTTAAATAATCCGGAAAAGATTGATTACTTCTGATTGAGCTTATCAGTTGATAAAGAAATATTAAATCTCTTTAATGCATTTGTATATTCGTTGTGAAGACGTAAGTGCAGCTAGAATCTCATACTGTACGGGCTTCCAATTAAATGGAACAAGTCATCCTGATGTTTGTTTGAATTCGTTTGCGTATTGAGAAATTTGAATCAAAAAAATGACTAAGCGACCAATAATTGGCTGGATTTCAGCTATTGAACGAAGTAATTGAAACGTTTATCGAGTAATGTTGTTCGAACACATTTCTGACCAATACAAGGCCAGAGAAGTGTCGAAATGTTCTTAAGAAAGGGAGGAGAAGTGAAAAGAGGATTAAGAAGAGAAACTTGTGCATGTTTAACCATTTAAACAGGAAAAGATTGCAAAAACTACGAATGAGGAGGTGGGACATAGAAGATGTGTGAGAGAAGACAGGATAAACGAGGCAAATATCCAATAGTGCATATAAAGAAAGGATAAAGAGACACATAAAGAGAGAAAGTGTATAGAGGATGAACTGAAAAGGAAAAGATAGACTGACGGTAGCTAAGTTGAGAGAGCGATCTCCAATTAAGAGAACCAATTCAATAAGTCAGTCACCAAGATTTGAGGAGAAAATCTTCAAATTCTAATGTCGGAAGGCAGTTTCATTTGTTACGATTTCGTTCCTTTGTACTATTTGCTTTTTTACATTTAATACTTCTCAAACAGTATAATGTTGTATTTAAGATATATGGATGAGAAGGATAGATCATATTTCTACCTCAAATGGAGACATCTATCATATGCATATACATTGATAACGTTTCTCTTGTTAACGACTGCTCTCTATAATTCATTTTCACAGCCAATCTTACCAAATCGTAATTTCACTATTGCAAATCATGATCGACAATGGATTATACAAAATTATAAAGTTTTATTATAATTATACTAAACATATTAAATAGATTTATTATACTTATAGGTATATCCTAACAGCACCAAGTATATCATTGGCACGAAAGCTAACGTGACACGTGAAATAGCTTTACTAAATTGGTTTGATCGCATTCTCGATGGTCAAGCAATATATATTTTTGGAGGAAATTATGATAATTTTTGTTGGGTAAGATTCATTAGAGATTTAACCTATATTCCATTTCATGTTTCATTTGATTTTAGAAAAGAGATGAAATTCCTTTAAATGAAAATATTCCATCATTATTCAATTCATCACAACTGAAAGCTTCTGTACAGGTTTTCAATTTTTTGTTTGTTTGACAACTTTTTTAATAACATCTCTGTTACAGATTCCATTACGGACAGCTGTTCTTATAGGGTTTTGCATACGAATTGTTCAAATTTATTTTATTTTCAAACTTCAATCTAATCATTCGATTAATGTTTTTAGTTTTTTATTCGAAATATTTGGAATATCCAATGAAATCATTCTGAATGTATGCATGTTCATACTGTCAGCTTTCCTCATAACTCCAGATGCTAATTGTAATTATTTTTCATTCAATCTTATCCGTACATCATCTATTCCAGATAAATCATATATACCTGTCGTACTGAATGCTCTACACTCATCATTTGTCGCCAAAATGCTCCTTGCATCACTTCTCAAAGTAACTAAGACACAGATTTTATTCGGCTGATTTATCCTTTCAGGGGGTGCACATCTTCTCTGTGATACGTCTATTCATGACCATTATTTCTATCATGTGCTGGGAGCCTATCCTTCGAAGTGTTGAATACTATCTTAATGAAGCGTACTGTGACTCTTACGGTAGGAACATGATGATAAGGATCAAACTAACGTCCCGTTTCAGTTGATACCTTTCCTGCGTACTGTCAATTAATAATGTTAGCCATACTCTATGTTACAGCAGTTTTGGATAGTTTGGAATGCAAATCAATTGAATTAAAAATATTTTTTGAAGCTGACTCTCCCGATAACAATAGGATAGCTCATCCTTGATATAGTGCTTCATTTTACGAAATAGTTCAGTTATTCTTGATGCTATACTGGTTTTCCTTCCGTTTCGAACATTCGAATTGAGTTATTCGTAGCAATTAGCATACGTTAGTGATGAGTGCAAACGGAAGTTCATTTTACATTGTATGTTGATGCAGAGCGGTTGTTTTATTTGTCCTCTGATTAGGTTCATTCGGAGTTGAAATTTTGTTTTTCTTCCTGACTTCTGAGATTCCTGTAATGAATTATCCTTTTATTGCATACATCAACAAGTTGTTTTGAAGAATTAATGAAGTTGATGAATTCCACGTGAGTATTGTAATGTCCTTTGATTGATGCAAGGAGAACCAGGCAAATCCCAAACAGAAGACCTGTGCGGTCATCTCGTCATCGCATTATGGTCAAACCAGCTTCTTCATTTGCCAAATAATCGTTATAAAAAATGATCAAATGTACAAGATAGATGATGTGATAACTTGAATCAATTCTTTGGTCAACTATGGAAAATGGGCATAACACTAATAGAATTGGGCGATCAAGCTATTTTCGATAAATTGATCTTTAGGAAATGGTATTCAGAACTTTTTTTCTCTCTCCATCTCCTCTATTCTCATAATGTTTAATGAGACAATACAAAGACTGAGAGACAGACGACAATTGGGTTGTGATAAGATATATAAGGCTAAATATTTATATATAAAGACTTAAAACGTTAAACTTCCCAGGTTTGCGTTCGACTTCTTCCAATGCGGTCACTAGCCCTACTCGTTGCTGTTCTTCTAGCATGTACTAGCTTCATTCAAGGTATATTTTGCTCTTCTTAACATTATTCAAACCTCTACCTTTCAGCTTACCCGTATTTCCCATACCAACCTCAACCTTATTATCATCATCATCATCACGATCCTTACCATCATCATCATCATGGCCCTTCATACCATTACCCACACTATGATTACCATGATCATCACCATCATCATGGTCATGACTATCACTATCACGGATGATGTCATTCAAAAAACGTTTATCAGTAAGGCGACACTATCTTCCAATGATTAAGAATATGTCTTTGTTTATGAGAATATAAATATTTATTATTAAACTTATACATTTTTACAGAAATTCAAATTAGTTCTGGCCTAGCCAAAAATTCCCAGAACATTTCCAAATAAGTTGTATCCATTCCCATAGCCTGAATAACCATAGCTAGGATAACCGTAACTGTAGCTAGGATAACCATAACCGTAGCTAGGATAACCGTAGGAATGGCCATATCCACCATGTCCACCATGTCCACCGAATCTTCCAAAACGTCCGATACGACCTATTCGTCCGAAACGCCCTCCTCCTCTGCGGCCCCAACGACGTCCCCGGTAATAAGCTAAGAGAAAATGAACAGTTTTAATGGGAATATGAATACCTTGAGCATCTGCTATGAGTAAACACAAAACGAGGATTAGAATAGGTAATCTTCTGCAGTTCATTTTAGAAATTATTATGCGATTGTAGATAATTTAATTCTCCAAGGTTATAGTATATATAGTCTTGAGAAGCGTTAAGAATCGTTCAAGGCTTGCGAGAAAAACATTTCTCTTGTCCATTCGTCAAATTGAACAATTCGAACTTGATATCATATGTCCATTGTCTGAATTGGACTAAGTTTATAATATGGTCTAGTGGAACTAGAAACTTATGTGATAGCCCGAAGTAACCACAACTATATGGGGGTAGAACACATGTTGCATTTGCAGTTTTTGCCCAAGAAAGACGCACTAATTCAATTTTCACTTTCTACATTACAACAAGAAGGAACACTTTCCTAATACTTCCTTGAATTCCCGAAATTACTCCTCTTGTTTGAATCATTTGAGATACTAAATGACCGTGAAAATGTGTGTTAAAACCAACAGAATACTTCAACGTGGGAAATTACGAGGATTTTTGTTTATGAATTTCATACAAGTATTTGTTCAAGTTATGATGTCATATCTACACAGTGTGTTAAACGCGATAGTTCCATCACATCTAAGAATTCGGAAGAAAAACGCCAAAAGATATTTATAGGCGTGAGGAAAAAAATTTTTTACGTACGTGATCCAAGGTGGTGCAAGCATAGTTTACTTTACAAAACTCAGTATAAGCTTCATCCAATAATATTCTATTATAATTGTTCTGGTGAAGCTTTTCCTTAGAAAAAAAAGAATTTTAATATGTTCCTACTAACATACTGGTTGCAAATTACAGGGGTTAATTGGGCTTCAGGATATGCAGTCCTGTAATATCAATGCTATCAGGCAGATCGCAAGTACCGCTGCGCACACCAACGCAGGGTTTGTTCAAAATTACTTACTATCTTATGGTTTTGTTAAAGGAACTCTGTTATATGTGGACCTGCAGTAAAACTATTACTGCAGCAGTATGACATCAATCGGGAATTAGTGAAAGGCAGTGGACCTAAAAGTAACCTGCTGAAGAGGTACGCAAAACTAAAGATTCTTCGAAAACTAAAGTTTAGTGATGTACTAACCTATATCAAGCATAAAGGTCTGAAACCAGTACCAATCAAATTTTCAAATGTACCCGAAGTTTCCTCAGCTGCGAAGACTGAGAAGAAGGATAGAGTTGGTACTGCCATGATTCCAAGCTATTGTAACACTTCAGACTGTATTCGTTGGTTCCCGGAGAAATGTGGAAAAGTTTGTGGACATACCCTTAACAAATATTCGCTCCACGATCGCTAAGCGTTTGTCTATGTCTAAGGTAGTTCCAAGTATGCTTATCTGTTTAAACTTCTTAATTTAGCAAATGATTCCGCACGAGTATCAATCTATCGAAGTCAAATCAGATGCTATTCTTGCTCTACGCAAGAAACTGAAATCAGATGGTGTTGTTCTTTCACTTAATGATTTCATCATTAAAGCGGCTGGGCTCGCATTACGCGTATGATTATCATAATTCTTCATAACAGAATCATTTATTTTGAAGGCTGTACCAGAAATTAACGTTAGATGGAATAATAACCAAGTTGAGTACCTTCCAACTGTAGATATATCTGTTGCTGTTGCAACTCCGACAGGTTTGATAACTCCCATTGTAACGAATGCTGATGTTCTCGGTGTACGGAATATTTCTCATAAAGTGAAGGTTGGTTAGGAAGATAGTATCAGCTTTGAAACGGAATGTTCAGGAGTTATCAAACAGAGCCAGAGAAAACAAGCTACAGCCTCACGAATTTCAAGGTGGATCTTTCACGTAAGTAGTTTTCCTTCATAGTCAATGCTCTCCGTATGATAATCAACCTAAGATATTTTTAACATCATTCCTTTCAATTAAATTATCCTTCTTTCTGTTTATACTCAGCATAATGCATTCTTTGTATTTCTAGATAATTTAATTTTGAATTCTAGGGTTTCCAACTTGGGAATGTTCGGAAGTGTAAGCAACTTCACTGCTATTATTAATCCTCCACAAGCTGCTATTTTAACTATCGGTGGAAACCGAACCGTTTTGAACAACGATTTGAAAGCTGAGAGCAGGTGCGCTAGTCGATAATTTCTTTCAGAACTCAGTATTATAATTAAGGTTCACCGTAACACTTTGCTTCGATGGCAGGGCCATCAGCGAAACGTCAGCAGCTTCGTTCTTAACTCATTTTTCTGCTGCTCTGTCCGACCCCGATGTAATGATTGCTGAGCCATTCAAACCCGAATTAGATTTCGATTTTGCTAAACTTCTCTGAAGTTACAGTGATTAGTTTTGTTTGTACGAGGTTGTAATAATTTTCTAGGCGTATGTGTATATGTATAGGCCATAGGTTTGATTTAATTTGATATACGGAATAATAAATGAATTTTGCTAGAAAATTCCTTGTTCGTCCTCACTTCTCGTGTTTCATCAGATGCTATACCTAACTGTTGAGTCCTGCCTCTTCTCCCTCGAAGCAGTTCGGAGATTTCAAAACTCATTTCATAATCATTTCTTCCAACAATGTATGAGACAAATAGCTTTTGGAATTAGATATATGGCTCATTTGAAATAGTTGAGTCACTCTGATGGAATTCTGAGATAAGACTGCCCTTTGATTGATGGGTGTTCATTGCAGAGCTTCTTTTATATCCATATTTGATTTTGGAATAGCAAAAGTTCCTAGCAATACATTACAGACTGATTCAATTGAATATAGAGGTTGTAATGTTTGGAAACTGCTCGTTCTATCAGATTTTTCGGCTTCCTCATAGCGGAAAACATCAATCCATTGAAGTGTTCACTTATTTCAGATGCTACTCAAAACGGCACGATTTTCGTCTTTTTTTCAAAGTCAATTATACCATCTGTCCCAAAGAAACAAACATTTTCTGGCCGATGTTCCTTTGAAGAGAAGAGGAGTAGACGGTCATTTATCTGTTTCTGATTTGGAAGGAAAAGTATGCACAAAAAACTACTTGAAGAATATGACGCATAATTAAGCTCCTATTGCTCTATTTCTCTGCTGGCTGGTGTGGTTCTTGCAAATTGTTGACCCCGAAATTGAAGGTTGTTTGGAAAACTGAACTTAATATATGATATGAAACCTAGAAGTTCCATGATGGTCTAGGAGAGGAAGGAAAGAAATTGGAAGTTGTGTGGGTTTCGAGAGATCGTGAAGCGGATCATCAATTGGAGTATTATGAGAAAGCTATGCCAGCTTGGGCATATATTCCCTTCGGTGACCCGAATATCAAGTTCGTCATCTGTCGTAGCGAAATGATTATTTTGTCGTTAAGAAACTTCCTGGAAAAATACGAAGTTAAAACTATCCCCTCTCTCAAATTGGTGGATAGCGAAGGGAATGTTCTAAGTGATAGAGTCAGAGCTGATGTGGAGGTGAATATTCTTTGAGTTATCCCATGAAATATATTTTATTTAAAGGGTTGTGTCAAAGAGAACCCTCTGAAATGCTTCAATAGCTGGAAATCCTTGTAAAGTCTTAGTAAATATAGTGGCCGCTTAAATCGTATTTTATTATTAAATAAAAAGGCGTACTTGAGTACTTGAGTGTTCCGTGTAATTGAAATTAGCATATGCCGTTTTCAAAACTCCACGGTAGCAATGTGGCATTTTCATGTCTTGTAGGTTTGTTGAACGGTTGGTTTCGCTGTGTCTTCTTCAGTTTAAAAAAATTCTTTATTATCAAATATGCACAAATACTTCAATAATCTTCGATAACTTTGAAAACATCATAATTATCAACGATTATCTACGCGGACTAGCCGAAAATGATTTTCGTCGAAAAATACTAATTTTGACCCGTACGTTAGTTTCCGGCTACATCCGCGGTTGTCTTTCACTGAGTAGCGTTCACAACTATTTCTTATGACTTTCTAGTTATTCTACATAATTATCAATACAATAATCATACAATGTAGCATAATTATCGTCGTCATCGGAACAATTTGAAGATGTTCGGAGTAAAGTTCGTTTTCCTCCGCCTGATGACGAATTTGAAGATGAGCATTCATTAATCAAAGCAGCACGAGAACCAACTGAAACTGATTGGAAATTAACTAAGTAAATGAGATTGGAGTCTATACCATTTCTATTGACTGAGTATCCACTGTATCCACTCTTTTCTGAACGTAAAGTCATAGATGGATGCATTGGTGACGGAGAGCAAGTACTCGCTAAGGTGAAAAACTGTGATCCATGCGGTAACTGAAGATTCATAGTATATTAAGAGATTTCATAAAAGTACTATACCTTGTGCATGTCATCTATCAATCCCCCTTTTTGGTCTAACAGGACTCTTCGTACGTGAGCTGAAAAAAGATAATTAAAACACTTTCTTTCTATAATAGAATCTCAGCGATTTCCCCATAAAACATTGAATTTCGTATCGCTCATCTAATAAATTTTGAAAGAGCTTTCCCTTGAGAATATCAAGGATGGTTAAGTCATTCGTCATGTCTTTGTCTTTCGAATGGCATAAATGAAAGAACCAGAGAAAAGTGTTCTACTGATTTACATACGATTACACGCTACTAAAGCAAATTCATTTTTCTTTGAACTATTAATCACTCAAGCGCATGAAGGACTCTAATTTTCAAAAAATTCTAAACAACATACCTCCACTTTCAGCGTAATAGATGTTGTTGGCATTATTTTTGTTAAGCTTGCGTCCGCGATTTCTCTTACAGACAAGTGCACTACATAAGGCCATTATAACAAACAGTAAAATCGCAACACATGTTATGCCACCATATAAGGCTATGTCAGATGTTGAAGTCATTGGTTGACAGTATCTAAAAACAGCCAGCGTAAAAGCAATTTCAATCTAATAGTTTACCCTTCACTACAAGGTTGAGTGTCCAGATCACGTCCAGGACATGAGGTTCCTCCATTCAAAGGGCTTGGAACAGTGCATGTTCGGGAACGGAAACGATGACAGGTTGGTGTGCAAGCGGACCATTCTGACCACTTGGACCAGCCACCATTTACGCGACAAGGTATTTCGCATTGACGAAGATCTTCATCATTCCCGCTGCAATAAGCACCTCCATTTAGAGGAGGAGGATTATTGCATGTTCTGGTTCGTCGTAAATGAGGAATAGCTTCCTGAAAACAGAATTTAAAGTCTTCATAGGAAAACTGAATGTACCGCTGAAGGAGAAGCTGTCAACTGATATCTCAGCAATTCACAATCTACTTGACAGTGTCCAGCATATGAAGACCATTCCGACCATCCTCCATTAACTGAAAAAATTAAAAGTTAATCCCTTTTGAAAAAAGAATCCAAATTGATATTATCTAAGAGGTTTTCATATTAACGTTAGTAACTTCAAAACGCCCGTGAACAGACATATTCTGAGGAGCAGAAAGAAGTTTACGTAACTAAGTCATATCCATAAAATGCTTTTTGTAATAGAATCACCGCAAAAAACAGAGTGTCCGACAATTGCAGAAAGTTACATAACAACAACTCGCTACCGTCTGCTTTTCATCTATCCGAAATTACTTTCAATAATGACTAGTAAGTAGGATCATAAAATACAATATGACTACTAAGTTGATTATGGATAAGTGAAAGTCGTTTACATCTTCTTTCATTTTTTATCTTATTCAGATGTAATCCATGTTAATGTTGAGTTATTGTCAACAATTTGTAACCTGTCCATATGGGTAATACAAATAAGGAAAAGGATTGTAATAGACAGATTGAATGACCTATTTCCCTTTCCTCATAATATTACTAAAACTGTCTTCTTCATATATTCAATGTATCACTTATTACCTCTTGCAATAGAGAGAAAAGGTAAATACATCGAAATTTCAATACTCACTGTTATTGAAATAAGAAGAGCTACCCCGTTTAAACTAATATTTAGAATGTAAGAACATACCGAATACATGCAAAGTGGCTGCATCTGTCACTCTTTTATGTGCAACATTGCTTGCCTCACACGTGTAGTTTCCAGAGTCAGATAGACGAACAGATGAAAAGATCAGACTTCCATCACTACCATATATAACATGGCTATCAGTGTAACGCTCGAGCACTTGTCCATCTTTCAGCCAGGCAATCTAAATTTTAAAATTTCATTTTTATTATTCCCAGAGTATGTGATTCTTCAAATATAACTTGGCTACAGATTAAGCAGATGCTATCTCAACTCAAATCTTTCCAACATACATATTAATGGATAGCAGCAGCTCAAGCTAAGCAAGATGAATTGTCAGATAAGCCCGACGGATGACGAAGAAATGTGACAAAGACATAAACTTTTCGATGTTACTTATACATCGAAAGTTAGAACATAGTATTACCTGAGCTTTTGGCTCACTCTCGGGAGCTCCACAGAACAATTGAGCTGACGATCCCTCAGCAACACGTTCACTTAAAGGTGTTTGAGTGAAATGCTTTCGCATAACTGAAATGAAATTATTTAGGAACGGTCATAAGCATCTATAAAAGATTTTTATAGAAAACATTAGTTCAGATTTTATTTTTCTTTCCCCCTAACACATGGAAATGATGATTGTTACGGTAAAAGCTTTATTCAGCTTTCATCTAACGACTGGAAGCAGAAGCAGTCGCAACACACTTGAGAGCATCAATGCCCTAATCATCGGTCCTCAAATGGTCCCGAATCAATTTGCAAGATGCTTCGCTATTAGATGAAGCTATGGTCTGATGTCAAACAATTGCATAACTTAAAGCTTATTCCTCTATTCGTAAACCGACAAATGAGTCACAACAAGTACGTCCGTTCGTAGTTGTATTCTTTTAAATCTCGTTTAAAATATAAAGTCGATTTAAACAGCCTTCATTTCTTTAAATTCAGGCTGTCGTCTGGCGACCTTTTAATCCCATAATTGCTCATCATTGTCTTTCCAACTGTCTGAAGAACGTACCGCAACTTGCAACCGGCTTTGATCTTTACCGAAGGTGTAAAGAAAGAAAAAGATTAGTTGATTGTTGAAAGACACTTAAGATGAGTAGAAGTGTGACCTTAAAATAACAACTGACCACCTTGGGCGGAAAACTTTATAAGAAAAGACATCATTAAATTGTCTTTAAAGATGATTCATTATGAAAGGATTAAGCTTCATTATCTTAAGGCGTCAAAAATGCTACAGAAGTCTAACAGCTGTGTTAACATGAGTAGTCTTCTATGAGCATAAGTCCTCTGACTGACATCTTCTGTTTCAAGTTACAATATGAATTGTTATTCTTACAATACCTTAACTTTTAAGAAAACTATTGTCTTTGACAACATGACAGCCACCCTCATCCTTCCCTTCATACCCCCTCACTATCCACCATCTTCCATAAATTATGTTCATAACTGCAGAGATTGGCTGGCTATTCAGGAAAAAAAAGGAAATATAAACAAAAACGAGTGCAGTGTCCCGATTTGACCTAAAGCCATTAATAACAATCTAATATCCAGATGGTTTTTAATATGGTTTGTTAGTTGAACTGATATTCAATAGCAGATTTAATCTCTGTGACTGGATAGCTATGGTAATCAGATGATAAGAGGTTGATAACATAAAAGTAAAGTTATTGAGTTAACTCATAAATAACCTTACTATATATAGAAGATTAGTAGGTTGATTAGTTCATACAATCTCTCTCTCCTCTCCCTCTATGTATTCCCTTTTTATGCATATTATCCTCTTTCCCTCTCTATCCAAATATATCTCATGTACGGTCACTTTACATGTCGGCAACCTCTGAGTGATTATCTGTATAGACGAGGAATATTTTTTCAAACTATTAGCAACAACTAGTTTACATTGAAATATTATACCCGTACAGGGTCATTTCATGTACCGAACAAACTTCTCTTTTTTTTGTCTTTGAAAACAAATAGTTCTTGACCAACATTTGAATATCAAATCAAACCATTCATATGATATATAAGAGAATGAAGTTCATTTGAGCATCAAGAGAGACAATGCTCAATTAAGCTCAATCTTCCATAAGCTTTTAAGAGATTGGTAATTACGATGGATGAACACATTTTTGATTTCATTCCATATAGATAAGCAAAGAGAGAGGAGCAGAAAATCAGATTGAGAGAGAGAGAGAGAGAGATGAGTCGGAGAGCTGGAATGGAAAGGAAAAAAATAATTTTTTTATCCACGAAAGTTTTCTAACAGACGGATAGTGTGCATCATCTCATTTTTGGATAAAAATAAACAAAAGGCAGCAGCTGTTACGTAAGAATATTCATCTTTCAAGCAACCTAATGCGAATATACTTGACTATTGCAGATGGTTAAAGCTATGCCAAACATACTTCACATGTTATCGTTTTTCCTTACTTTTTTCCTTTTTCCCTCCTTTTTGAGACTGTTTGATCAAGCAAAAGCCACTTTGTGCATTCTTTTTTTTGTTGTCTTGTTTAAGTCAATTGCCATCTATGAATCTCTTATAAGATAAATCAACAGTTAGATTGACATTTCGACAGACAACAGCTATAGAGAGGAGACTGTCTGTGACTGTGTCATCCTGCACATCCAACATCTGCTGACAAACTGTGAATATATGGTGTTGCATAAAAATTAAAATTATGAATTCTATTAATGGTCATCTGATATTCAAATTCAGAAATGAAACAAATCATTTCACCATCCCCTCCCCCCTCATCCTCCAGCAACAACACCATATATGCATCCAATCACTTGTATTGGCGTATGATGGCAATGAGAAGCAAATATGTCTTTCATCTTAATGATGACAAGAACTTCTACACCGTCACATCTTCATCTCATTTTGTTATTAAAAATGACCTCCTTTGGACAAGTCAATGCTTGACTGGGGGATACCAATTGTCAATCAAAGGAGGATCAACTGCCAAACGGGATGATTCTAATTGACTTTAAAAGAATGGAAATGTCTATAGACAGAAGTACTTTGATTATTTGTTTCAACATCATCCTATTCAGTTTTCGTCCAACTTCCCCCCCCCCCTTTCCTCTTCCAGCTATAAAACTTTCGAAGATGATTGTCGTTTTATCTGTTAAAATTAGAAACGAGGATTTTACCCCATCTCCTTCGAGGGCAATTAATTCATATAGACGTAATCTCTATCAAAATCCAAACAGACATAAAGACAACAAATCTATATGATATGGTTAAGAGAGTCAATGAGATAGAGATGAATATCCTCTACGTTCACTTATTGTCCTTGGCCCATGTTATGTAAATTCAAGAGACATAAGATAGCCATGCTATATTGGAATAGATGAAGGAAAGATAACATATAAAAGTTTTATATGAATTTGAAGCCATTTGAAACTTTTCCCCCCCCCCCCCCCAACCACATCTTCACCACAATTAATATTTCAGTCCCGATTTGAAATCAAAATAGGAAATATATTATGGGATAAATGAGAATGAACTTATGACCATCCAGATGAAGCTATCGATTCATTGAAACGACAACAGGCCAATACCCCAACATGTTCATCTGGAATGTGTGTGAGGAGAAGAAAAACCCAGAAAAAAAAAGAAGAAGATTCAAGCAAGAGATCTCAATTATCACATCCATTTGATGAATAAATCATGTGAATGAAGTTAGCTATGGATGTTATTTCAATGATTTTATCTTTTTGTCAAAGGATAAGAATAACTGTCAGATTATGAACAATATGTGAATAGATAGATTCTATTCAGGTTGTAAATCTTTTTGAGGTGGCAAGACAGCTAAGATGGTTCAACGGAGGTATTCCATTAATCAATGAGGTCACAGAGCTATCGCTTCCTTTCTTCTTTTTTTCCTCACAAAAGAAAGTCAAATGAATGATTATTTTGAAAGAGAAAGAGAGATTCATCTGAATGTTGTTGATATTCAACATCATCCATTTTTCCTTCAAAACATTATAGATGAACAATTGAACTGATCATATATTACATTAAGCCTAAAAGCCATAAAAAGGTAGACGACGAATGTGAAGAAGATACTTAACGTCTTCGGATGTCTTAACTACAGACCCACATTTGAAATCGTAACGATTTTACAGAATCTTGTAATGGTCATAACCATTAAAGATGAAATGATAGACGTAGAGTAAGATGATGCAAAGAATAAAAAACTATGAAGAAAGACACTTAATTCACATAAGTCAGTTGTATTTCAACGCTACAACTGCTTTAACTAAAGTCAAATGCTGTAATATATATGTACAGTAGGTAACACTAGAATACTGACCCAACTGACATATAAAGGTGTTTGATTTATCACCTGATGTCTACATTTTATGAAGCTTTAAAAAAATGGAGGAAATAAAATAATAAATAAAAAAAAACACAAACATAAGATGATGTTAAGAAGTAAACTTACAAGCAACTCGGATTTCAGCGGTGTCTGAACGCACAACGTGATCATCACTGGTACCGGAGGCATAACACTGGCATTTGACTTCATTCACATTTTCAACCTTTAAATAATCATTTTTGTTGTGGTATTGTATTGATGTTGTATGTAACCTCTTGTCGGTTGATTTCAATTGTACTCTCCAAATATGGTAATTGACTAGATGGATCTGTTCCCAAAACCGATTCATAGCGGGACTCATCCAACTGCAAATATCAAATATCTAATTCAAATATAATTTAAAACAATTTAAATTAACATAACAAATGTATTTTTCGATATAATTCACACACAGTATCTTATGCCTTCAATATATTCTTATTGAGACCACATGTTCAATTTCCTTTGCAACTCTACACGCAGCATCCTTCAGTAAACACACAACCTAACATCTTGTTCCCACCATTAAGTCACATATATTTGTGACCATTTTAAAGCTTAGATAATAAGCCTGATCACATAAGAATATCTCATGCAATTCGTCTCAAATGGCTCTCAGCTGACCAGGCAATTAAATCAACAAAAATGAAGAGAATGAATTAGAATTTAAAAAAAAAAAGAACCTCAGCTTCCCTCTCACACTCATACGCACAAGCATTCTTTAGCCATTGGAATCTTTGAATACTTTTGATTCTTCTATTTTTTGGTCTTTTCTCAACAAATATCTTTGCCATTCTGACGGCAAATATTCAAAAATACCTCTTGCAGCTATCAAATGTGAATCGAAATCAAAAGGAATGTGCTGTGGTGAAGCCCTAAGGGATTAAATGGCTCAACGAGCGAAGTTTCAGTTTCTTTCGTTCAGTCAACACAGACACCCATACCACACACAATCCTTTTAGTTATAATATTCGTTACTATCATACATGAAAGAGATAACCGAAAAATAATAAAAATAGTTAAATGGATAGAAAAATGAAAGAATACGCGCATAAGGATATGTTACCGATAATACAGTTGTTCAAATAGAAACCACCATAGTGCATGCACCTGTTGAGAATGCCAAAAGAGGAGAAAGGTGGTTGAGAGAGTGAGAGGTTATAGTAATATCATTTAAGAGCCCCTTCATCTAGTTACAAAAATATGTTCTTTCATTCATTAAATATATTTTAAACTAAAAACTTACATCTTTCAAACATTGCGATATGAAATGGATGAAAAAAAAAATTGAATGAAAAAGTTACGAAATGCAACAACCGTCTAGAGACGTCTTGCGATTTAAAAAATGATTTTGAAAAGATGACTGATGACGTGGTTGTTTACTAATCTCATATTTCTTGTGTTCACGTAACTTTCACGTATGCTAATGAGAGCATATAGTATAATACAAACAAATGTATGTGCCATATTCAACAGTTTGAACAACTTTTCAAACATATTGCTTTCGAGAGAAGGACCTTGAACAAATTTTCCTTTTGACAATTATGCACAATTGGATTCGGGTGAAGATGTCCATTTAACAAATCAAAAGATGACTTCTTCGGGCCAGCTGAGAATGTTCAAAGTCGACAAACTTCATGAAAAGTTTTTCATTTCTCTCTCTCTCTCTCTCTTTCTCCCTCCTATTCTACCCTTATTGCAAATGTTCTGCATGAATTCATAATCTAATGGAGGGAGGGGAACATCTCTCATTTTGAAAATTTTCAAAACAAAATTTGTTAAAAGGAAAAGCTGATAAGCGTGGGAATGTATGAGATAAGAGTAACTTTGAACACAAACCAATATGCTAATTATTCTTATACATTTAAGAAGCGTGGAAAAATGACAAAATAGTATATGAATAGGAGAGAATAAGATAAATATAATGATAATTGATAGTAATTAACAAGTGGCACGCGTATACTGTGTTAATAATGAATAAAACTTATTAACTTACCCATCTATTATTACATTTGAAACGAATCTTTTTGGCATTTAAAGCTTTACACGATAAGTGATATGGACGTGATTTGATGACAAATCCAGATTGAGGTTGTTCCAATAAGACGACCTCTTCCATAACTGAAAGTACGCAATATTAATTATATCATATATCATATATCTATATTAAATGGTTAAACTACACATACACTACACACACTTACACATACACATATGAATATCTTCAAAAATGGGTATAAAAGATAGATAATGAAGTATTTACCTGCATTTACTATGCTAACTGAGGGATATATTAGCCATATGATAAGGAATGAACAAACAGTTGATGAATTAACCATTGGATGGTAAAAAACAAGCAACAATCAAGAATAAAGCTTTAATATAATATAATCTTCTTGTGTCATAGAATAGCAATGCGTTCCACAATACTATTGAGTGACCGCAGATGACCACCATAAGGGGCGGGGCATACAAACTCCCAGAAGAGATAGATAGGCGGAGAGCTCGCCACGCCCCATTTCCCGAAAATCAACTGTCCTGTCACCGCATTAAGAACTATTTGTAACTTAGAACTTTCCGATTTTTCAAATATAAGGAAAGAAACAAGTTGCGGATTCAATCATAGCCTCCTCTCTTCGTTAGATAACCGTGAGAATGGCGGAAACATTTGAATAAGCATTTCACTTTTCATCTCATTGCAAATGTTTTACAGGGGGGCATCTTAGCATCGGCTGTAAACGATGGTCAATATGTAAAGAGCGGTAGCGGAAGAATATGATGTTAATTATGCATTTTATAGTTAACATCTTGAATAATGTGAGGTAAAACATGTTCATCTGACACAAAAAAAATGAAAAAGCAATAGGTAACTACGCCCGGTAGTCTTTGAACTCAATTCGTAGCTTACCTATTGGAAGGATCTACAAAAGCACCTTAACGACAATTACATAGATGTTTAATTACAAAAGCCAGATGTCATCATGTTCTAAGGAACGACAGTCTTTCCTGTAAGGTCACCGACAAACGCCTATTAAGGGAAGCTATTAAGGTTTTATTCTTATTAATCTTTCCATTTTTTGTTTCAAATACAAAAATGGAAGCGAATAGAGAGAGAGAGAGGAAAGATGATCAACCACACTGGAAAGTCATATGCAGTCAGTTACTCAGCTCCGTTCCCCTCTCCTTCCATTTTGGAAAACAGAAAAAACGAAAGTAACAAGCGGATGTTGGAAAAACTGTAAAAGTGCCAAAACAAAAAAAGTTTTTGGAAAAAACGAATTAACGAAGATGGAAAGAAAGAAGGAGAAAAAGAAAATTTAAAGATTTAAAGAAATGAAATTCAAACACATTAAAATGTCAACGGAAGAGACAAATGTCAAACTTCCTTTCCAAAAATTTTCTTTTTTTTTTCTTCTTATTTAAGCATTTTGATTTGGGGCAGAAGCACTTCTACTTCTTAAACGACATCAAGCTGAATCGTCCGAAACGTCAATGAATGCGTGAGAAAACTACTTTGGTCGAATGATTAAAATACAAATTATTCTTTTTTCTTACAAAATAATAAGAAAAATAAATGAAAAAAAAAAGTTTTTTCTCTCTTCGACTGTCAGATGAAGATCATACAGTCATCAGACGTTATGATTGTGTCAGTTCGAAAACAAAATCACAATAGAAGATTGTGGTTTTATTTAAAAAAAACTTTTTTCGATCAGCCTTCAAAGAGACCATCTGGCGCGAAAAAATCACGAAATTTCCAATGATGGAGATTGTCTTCTACAAGATGTGTATGGCAAATCATGCAAATTTCAGTTTCCCATTAGTAGTCAGAAAATGCTAATCAGATATGAAATTGAGTATGATGTTTAAAAAAATCTTTTTTATTTTCTCTTCTCTAACTTTGTCGGAAAAAAAAGATTCAAGCCAATCGTAGCATAATTAGCATAAGAATGACGTTACGACTATTGACGTGACGGACGTGTGGCCGAAATTACTTTCTAACAAGCAAAACCTGTTGAGCGGTTGCATTCGAGCACACCAGATGATTTTCCCTCCTTTTTTTTGAGTAATTTATTTTAAAATGTTTCTAATATGACTTGTTGTGTCCTTGATTATACATATAAAGGTCGACTTGTTAGAACAAGTCTTTGCAAATCTTTAAAGGAATATATCATGACATGAGGATCGTCTAGTGATGGAGAGCAGCTGGTGTGGGTGTGTGTTAGTGAAAGAAGCCGAAATATGGTTGATTCGTCGCAACAGCTTCACCATAATTTTGAATTTCAAAACACACGTGATGGGGGGGGGGGATTGTAGTAGATGACAGTTACATTCAACTGTGCAACTGTTACATTTTCAGTTAAATTGAACAAAAAAGTATATAATAGGAAAAAGCTTTAAAGATATCGTAATGATATTCGTTTTTTGAGACATAAAGGCAATACAGCTGTTGGAGAGATACAGTTGTTACTATCGGAGGCGCCAACAACCATTTGTGTCTCTCGTACATTACGAAGACCTTGGATTTAAGAGAGAAAAAAAGTCGTTTATTGCCTTCAAGTAAAAATTAAAAATTTGTAAAAGACCTCTAACTAACAATTTTTGTCATTCAAATTAACGATGAATGAGAAAGAAAAAAGATTTTCTCATACATTACAAGCTCATATAGTAATAGGCATATGCGCATGCAAATCCATCACATACTGTTTGAGAACGAAAGAATGAGAGAGTGAGGGAGAATGAATTTAGATGAATTTTGAGAGAGAGAGAGAGGAAGAGGATTTTGTTTTTCCTTTTTTAGTACTATTACCTTTTATAAATTTAAACAATGGACGATTGGTGAGATGAGTCAACCATCTTCACCGTTTCCGATCTTTCCCAAAAAAAAAATGTCATCGTTTGATAACAAAACACAGAAGTCAACAACAAAGAGAGGAAGAGGAATGATGGATACTTTATATTTTCAAAATCATATTCAGATGATATGGACTATGAGAAGGGAAGAATGAAGTTTGTAATCTCTGAAAGTCACATCATCAATCTGCATGAAACTCTTTTTAACCTTTCTTCATGAATAAGATTAAAATTCTTTTTTTTTTGGCCAACCGGAACGTAAGAATTAAAAATGGAATTCGAATGTCACATACTTTCACAGTTGAAATCTGTACAATAAGCCATGCATGGTTATTATGAGGCTTTTTTCAGTTGGGGTGAGTGAGAGAATGAAGAAGACCTCAGATGCGATTTGAAAATGAAAAAAAACTCACTGGCTTTATAATCCAAGAAGTAGTCACTGTAAGCTTGTTCATCAGCCATATCTAGAAATGGATAAAAAAAGTGAGAAGGAAAAGAAAGAGTTTCAAGTATAAAAGTCAAAATCTCAGTAGTGTATCAGTGGAAAGTGAGAGAAAGAGAAATTGGAAGACAGAACGAAGTAAGAGGAACAAAGACGTTGGATGAGGAAAATAAATTAAATTAGTTTTACATGATTCAGATGACTAAAAAAGAAACTTCCAATCTCTGATGCGCAATACAGAAATCAATAAAAAATTGAACAAAACTGATGAATATGAAAGAACAGATTGTCTCCCTTTGAGCCAATTGTTCACACCTTGCTGTTCCGAAGAAATAAGAGAAAAATCACTAATACTCTAAGAAGATGGATAGCTTTCTTCTCGTTTACTTCTCACTCTCACTATCTCTCTCTCTCTTTCATTTTTTCTCTCTTCCGTCTTCACTTAGCCAGTTGATTCATGAGACTTCAAATGGCAATCCGAACCTATGCCACAACCAAAACACTTTTCAATTACAGAATATTCAGAAGAATATGTTCCGTTTTTTTTTTCATTTTGTAATCATCATCAGACATTTTCATAGATGATTTATTAACATTCATCCATTTACTAGTTTTCACTTGAGGAAATAAAAGCAAAAAAAAAAATTTTCTCCCAATCACTCTTTCTTTCACTTTCAACTCAACTCAACATAAAACTCATTAATGAAGAAGGTCTTAAATCAAAGCAATTAAATGTTGGAATAACAACAAGCTCGATTATTACAAAAAGTTAAAGGGATAGCAGAATTACGGAAAGAACATTTTGAAGAAGAATGACGAGCCTCATCAATTAGAAACTGAGCTTTCTCATCAGCCAACTCTCCCACGTAGTCCAAGCAGGCGGGTAAAATTGAAGTCCGAAGATTTTCATAATCATTTATTAGCGGAGCATAAGCAATTTTTGACAAATATTATGAGGATAGTGCACATCATAATAAATGAATAGAAAACAACAACCAACACATACAATACATTACATAGATGACAGGCGAGAAGGTGAAGCTTATGCTGTCATGATTGAAATAACTATAGCAAGCTTGCATGAAGAAAATAAAGAAAACATTGAAACCGCTTCTTTGCAAGCAATGTATTCGAGTTGAACAGTAAGGGGCTCTCCCTAGACCTGGGTAACTACAAAGTACTGCTTCACGCTCAACCAGCATGAAGAGATAAAACATTCGAACTCGAGTTGCTTCGGACTTCGGCACTTTACTATCAGCCTATATCAAAAGAATCAGATTTAATAATTTTCTGCCGTATCCTGCTGTATCTACATAAACTATTCTCTTCGGCCTCGGAGTAAATGGTTCTTCAACTCAAAACACCATTACTCTCTGAAGGAGTCGTAAAAAGTAATGAACATCCATATGGGCGATAATTCGCTTTCTCATGAAGAAAGGATGAAAGGCAAGATAACAGCTACTTTACAAGAACGGCAATCGGTTACTTGAAAGGTGATATACAATTCTACTAATGATACAATTACGCGAAGCAATACATTTCGTCTTTTTAACAGACAGCCGATCGCGTGCGCCAAAGTGTTTTACAAGACGCTAACCAGTCAATCTCATTTCCTACTATAGCGGTGTCGAACTGCTTGTGCCATTCGGAAGAACCTCAAACGGTGATGGATTTTCATTTTTCCCTATTCCATAATGAGCGGTCGTGCACATGCTCTACTGAGCTATAGTCACTCTTCTTACAGTACCGCTTGTCATCCGAAACAATTTCTTATTCTCAGTTCATGAATATTGGAATCAAACAAGCTTAGTTGAATTCGGGAAAAGCTTAAGCAACTTGAGTTTTAACTTTGATCCGTTTATTACACGATAATGCATTCCTAACGTTTTTCTGGGGAACATATGATTGATCACAAGAGACAAACTCTATATGCCTTTGAACATGTCTTGTGGTAACCTTCTAACGATCAGAAATCAAAACCTTAAGCCATTCATTCATAGTTCAAAATACATCAAGAATATATTTAAATAATAAAAACAAACAACTCCAATAAACCCGGTGTAAAGTAGATTTGTTAAAACTGATTTGGTTTCATCATCGAGCTTCTCCTGTCATCATCTTCACAAATTCTTCATAATCAATTTCTCCATTACCTATAAACACTTGTTCGTCTAATCAAAATGAAATATGATAACTGCACCATCACAATCGACAACTTCCATCATCTCATCAACTTCCTCTTCACTAAACTGCATTCCCATATGAATCTGAATAAGAAAATTGGAAATTTCAATTATCGTAGATAGGTTCAGATTGTTGAGAATATACGGAAACGGTAAGAAGCTTTATGGAATCGTTATACTTACCATAAAATGCTTAAACTCGTCAGCAGTGATAACACCATTCCCATCCTTATCAAACACTCGAAAAGCCTCCCTGATCATTTCTGAATCTGTGTCCTTCATAATTCTGAAATAGATCAATTAGATGTTAATATCTTAGAGTCTTCAAACCTTTTCATCATAACACAAAATTCCGGAAACTCAACCTGGCCGTTTCCATCAATGTCAACGTCATTGATGATTTCCAGGATTTGCTACAAGTTAGGAACTTGTAAGAATACGTCAATGATCGAACTCACTTGTTCCGTAGGGTTCTGTCCTAGAGCCCTCATTGCTATTCCCAGTTCTTTTATTGATATGGTGCCATTTCCATCTTTATCAAACAGTAAAAACGCTTCTTTGAACTCTTCAATTTCCTCTTCGCACAGGTTACGAATCACCTGCAAACAAAGGTTGCACTGAAAGCTTCAGAAGAAGCATCCTGTGATATACTGAATCAATATCAAATTCATACTGAAGGTGCATGTTTGACTACATCCGCTCACTGGGAGCCTATAGCTTCCTTTTACGTAAACGTGAATTAAGCTTCACGTTAAAAATTCATTTGACTATCAAACAGACAGAAAGAGCGGTTGATCCTTTCATTTTATTTGTTGAGAGGAAGAGTGTGATTTGAAAACAGAGATTCACAACTTGGATGTTTCGAAAGTCATTCATCAACACAGATGACATCATAGGTTCAAGAACAGAACTGATGAACAAACCTCTTCAGATTCTTGGAATAACGCCTGAAGCGTTCGTGTTTGGATCATGGACATATCCTGTAAGTAAGATATATGAGTCAAGAAGTAGAATTATAAGAACGTGTGAGGATGAAGCTGTAAATGATGGCTCAAATGAAGTATGTGGGAGAGAAGAAAAAAAAACTTTTCACCAGATGTTTGAGAAACTTTTCATTTCTCTGTGTTGCTCGAGTTTTAATAAATTTTACTCACAGATTAAGTTAAATGGATATAAAGAAGAAAATAGAATGAAAGATATAGAGAGCTATGCGATCGGAGTGATCAAGATGAGACACTCGACGATATCTGAAGAGTAGGTCATCCCCCATCGAAATAAGCTTCAAATGATGAGATGATAAACTCAGAGAATAGGCTTAAAAGCCAATAGATGAATGGAAGTGAGAGAAATAAAAAAAGAAGGAAGGTTTAAGTCTGAAATTCAACAAACATATTGTGAAAAGCTGAAAGATTTCCGTAATATAGATTTTGAGGATATATAAAGCGTATGGATATAAGCTAAGTACATAAAGAGAGCTAAAGAACAATGATTTTGAAATGTTCCAGTTGTGTTTTCCTTGTTCATGACACAGATGATGCAGCTCGAAGCTATGCATTTCAATTTTCTTTATATATTGTATTAGATACAAGATGATGAATGGTTTTTGAATGATGAAAAAGCACATGAAAGACCTTAGATGCTTCTGCTACTTGAGAAGATGAAAGGAATTCAACAAGAGGTCGTTGTGATTGGTTTTTGAAAGATGGCCCTGTTGACATTTTTTTTCTTCTCTTACGAACAAAAAAGAAACAATGTTAAGGAAAAATATGATGACAGTAACGAATAGAACTTACAATTACTTTTCCACGTAAGAGAGCTGCTCCTGGACGATGATTTTTGGACATTTTGCTCTGTTCTTCAATGAATCTCGTTGAGTTTTCATTTTTTTTTCTAAAACAAAATCTTCTTTTTATATATGAGATAACGTCCAAACAAATTATGGATCATAATATCAATGAATAATACGGTAGATTACACACAATATCAAATTCAAAATCATCTGTAAAAACACTTGAATTGAAGAAAAGTAAACATGAAACAGTTAGATGCAGTACAATTCACATGCATAAACTTCATCAAAACATATTTGTAAATTTTTTTAAATTCTAAATAGGTACACAAATCATTTTCCATAAATACTTTCTTTACAACCCAACTTCAAACTGTAACGTATCCAAACCATGCAGTCATGGTGAAAGTACTTGGCACATGTAGTCAGGCACGAGTGGACACAAATGATTGGCGGCACCCCCAAAATATTCTCAAAATTTCCAAATTTTCTTTAAGGAAACTTCAGAAGCTTCTTAGAAAAAGAAAAATTCTAATTTCCGATAAAAAAACTTGAAGTTTTAAAAACTTTTTTTGGCCAAATACACGTCTTCCGAATATTTTTTTCTACAAGTCTACCTTGAGATGGCAACACATCATAGCATCATATCAACCATACCCCATGTAAAATTCAAACTCATTCAACAGAACTTCGAACATCAACACATACAAGATGAATTCATTTTATTTTTTCTTTATGTTCACTCTCTCTTCGCATTTGTGGATGTTCCGCTATTTTGAAAATTTCCATCCACAATCTACCCATCTTCTTCATCGCTCTCTATCCCGTCCTGTATCGAAGTCAAAACGGATCGGCCATGAATTGCTTATGTTCATCCATTCATCAAAAGACCATCAGAGAAAATCTATTTTAACGGGAATATTGTTCTTCGATTTCAGATCAGAAGAAGTATCAACAATATGTGTTTCACATAATGTAGTTCCGAACTTAATAATCTGTTCATCTTCACATTGACAACCAACCCCCCCCCCCCCCCCCCACTTCTTGCAAATCATTCCGCCTCCCCCCACCATTTCCTGAAAACTTTTCCTTTCGTCATATCGTACTAGTCTATATGACCATAATTGATATATTGTATATGACTTAGATGGAAATTAGAGAATGTTTTTACCTCTCAGATCTCAAAATGAAAATGGAATGCGAGATCTCATTTTTGTCAATTCCCCTATTTAACCATCAATTACTGTCCTTCTTTTTGTACAATTAAGCTAATTTCTTTGCTTTTTCATGTTTTACCTCTCGTTTCGCGTTTTTTCTTTTCAATTCTTAATCTCAACAGTTGAATATTTCGTTTATTTGTTCAAATTCCTTAAAGTTTTTTTTTCCTTCAACTTCTCCACAGTTTTACTACTTTCCGCCTCGTTGCAACTCCTTGTTTCTATCGAACTCACATCGGATGTTCGAAATCATAATTTTGAACGTTTCGAGATAATGAACTCGTGCGTGTTTAAGACAAAGCGATAAAGAGAAAGAGAAAAGGATGAGAAGAGAGAAAGAGATAGAGAGAGCGAGATAGAGGAGTGGGGGGAAGTTACGAAAAGAAAAGCGATCATCCTTCAATGTGGGTCATTTCGTTCCTTTTTTGTCTCTTTCTCAATCTTATCAGACAACATAAAGCCCATGAAAACTAGCGAATGACAATGTCACTTCACATGTTTCATCTAATGTTATAACTATAAGATGATTAACATTAACATTTTTTATTTAAACAGCTTTACTTAGGTATGAGGCTGCTGTCTTTCCTTTTTCTATGCTTTGCATATACGGAGCAGAGAGAAGAACACTTTATTGATGTCAAAGAGCTCGTGAAGGTAGTTATAACTTGAAGGCTTCAACAATATATGGTTAAAAGGATACTATACAAGCAATCGGACAACTTCCACGAGCAGCAGCTATGGGAATTCCAACTATGAACTTCACAACTCCTGCTCCTGCTCCTCAACTATACCAGTAGTCTTTTAATTCCAATACTGTTCTATCCTAACTGTTTTTAGTCTGTTCAAACTTCCGGCCGATATCATGACAGATTTGGCTGTGAACGCTGGATACATGGAAGGATCAACAACAGCTGCCACACCAAGAGTTCCTTGGATTGTAACAAGGTTCGATCAATCGTTACCTTATGACTAATATTTATGATTATTTAGAGAAAGCGGAGATGTGTATCAAGTAATGTTTTTTTCAATAATTCCATTTAATATGAACGAAACTTAAAGAACGGGCAAAGCGAAACTTCTCAATCTTCTCAGAACTCCGGCCTTCTACCAATTTCAAGGTATTTGTTCAGTTATGATTAGACTTATGTTTTTATGAAGTCTCTTGCCTCGCATGCTTGGAACTCCAAATGTTCCTAATGTACCAGTAAGCCAATTGCCTCAACCTCCTCCAATAGGGCAGTCTTCCCCATCTTCCACACTTCCAACACTTCGTCATCTTTCACAGCTACCAACCCAGAGGTAGCTTCCATTCAAGAAATCGCATTAATTAAGCTTTTTCTAGCGTGTCGACACCTCGTTATGCTTACAGACCTGTTGTTCAGCCTGATGGTCAAACGTACGGTCATCTTAGTAATATCGTTTAACTTAAGCATATTACAGCTTGTTCATCCCCGTGCTACTTCCTCCAACCGAGCCACCTACTCTTGAAGAATTAATGAGACAGAGAGTTTTGGCACAAACCCCTCAAGAAACCGAACCAGTATCTTTCACCTCAACCGTCTCACCAGTAAGTTTTAATCTTTTAAAAGTTTGAACAGTGGGTACAGCTGAAGAAATTCTCCAAATATCTTTTACTGGTTTCATTGATAAACAGCTATTTCGGTACATTCGATGGATCAACAGCTGTCTGAATGTTAACCTAAGCTTATTCATAATAAGATTAACAGTTAAGATGAGATATACCAAATCTTGACTACTATTCTCGTTAGCTTTATCAGCCAATAGACAGGATTTTCCAAGACGAGCTTTTTTTCTGTTAAGCCCAATTCGCTTTCGGTTAATCAGAAACATGATTAAAAAGAAAACGAATAAAGCTGTTGATGACCATATGAGAATATCGTTTCTCATTGATTTAAGCTAAACACATTACTATATAGGATTGTTATCCATTAGCTTACTTCACTCTCGCGAGATCTTGTTTTAATGATCTTCGCCTTCACTTTGGGTAAATCAGTTCGCAAAGTATAGAGAGCGAACTTCAAGGCTTCTCCAATTGTTAATGTAATATGTTTGACCGCGGACAAATGGAATGGATCTGATTAGAGTGATGTCACTATGAATACATCTTCTCTTAATTTGGAACCAACTTGAAACAGGGAAGATTATATCTTGATTATTGATTCTCAAATTGATTAAGAGAGCATAATCATATCCTAATACATATCGAATTAGAATAACGTTCTTGAAGAAGGGACATATCACATGAGCCTTAAAATACATTTCATAGAGTCATATAGTTCTAACTTACATCCTTCAAGTGTTGTAAAGTCATGAAAACAATGTGAAGATGTTCTTCCGTTTCAGTCAGCATGCCTTCCTTTCAAGATCATTAAAATGAAAAAGTGTTTCTGAAAAAAACCTTACCATAGGACTCTCACATAGTATTTCCATATCATCTTTTCTATGAGAAAATAAGCTATCGTCACTTGCGACCAAATCCATTTCTTCTATCGTGCACGACGAAAATGACACAAAGGTTTGATAAACAACATTCGCACTTCCATTTAAAAGAGAATTATCTCGATTGACATATATGGTCACATTTCTTTCAAAAGAATCTAGAAGTGGTTTCGGAAGCCCGAAGTTATTCTAAAAGAAACTGTAAGAAACTGTTTATTTTGATAAGCGTTTGCCTGGATATGCATAATCTTACATATGGCTGAAGACTGAACTCCATTAGGATTGGTATACTCAGCGAAGCTTTGATAGTTTAAGAACAAAATAAAAAACAACAACCGCAATTGGAGCAAAACCATCAAAACTAACTTTAGAAAAACGACTGATCGTTTTCTCATCACTCACGCTTGCCACGTGGGCTAAAACTCTTTTATGCTAATTTCATTACAGAAGACAATCCGTATAAGCTCGGACAGATATGAGGCGCACACTTTCCCTCCAATGGTAAACCCATTCTATGACAGAAATGCTATGAAGGGTATTATGTCTCTGACCAAGGTACCTAGATGTATTACAAATGTGTCCAAACACTACTGCTTCAGGAAGCTCTTCAGACTGCCATCAACACTAACATTCCAAACATGGGTGTTCCTGATTTTATGAAAACTACTCTGATTCCTCAGATTCTTACAACATCTAGACCATTGAATAACCGTGTTCGCAAGGTTTCGTCCGAAACTGAACATCAAGTTGATGTTATAAATGGACCAGAGGTTCGAAGTTTGCATTAATGCTTTTGTTACTTTCCAAGTTAAGGATGAAGGAAGTACCTTAGTCTATGAATCTCAAGCTGTACCTATCCCTCTTGATAACTCTTATCACAAAAAAGTCACAGCTGAGAGAAAGGTATTTTTAAATAATAGTAATCCATACTCACAATTAAACTGGACTTTTCAAGACTTACACCTCAGTTTACAATGTTGATGACTCTACAACGGTTGAGAGTAAGAAGCCTCCAATGATCGACGAGAGACTAGCTTTCCAAACTAAGGAAGACTTTGAGGTGAGCGAGCAATTCATAACCAAGCCATATTCCGCTCAAGAGAAAAGAGAAGAACTTCTTGAAGAAGAAAATCAAGAAGATTACTCCTACTAAAGCTGTCACGGAAACTGATTTGGACGCTGAAGCAATCCGTGAATTTGTATGTTGAGCTCTGTGAATTATTTTTCAATTGAAACATTCAGGATCATATATCTCTTACACATACACCTTCCAGAAATGTTAACATTCGCAGGGTATAACTTCAGACTGTTTTCTTTATACTGTTTGGAATTTCAGGTCATTCCAAAAGCTGATGTACCTTCGGCAGAGTTCTTGGGTCAAATGCGATCCATCCCCACGGACTCGGTAACTATATTTATCTCGATGCTGGATAATTAGAGCTTGTAATCAGGAAGAAGCTGAAAATGATAGAAAGGAGCAGCAGTCCACCACTGGCCGACATGTTCGACATAGAATTCACTCTATAAAAACCTATGTTGTTGATCGAAAGCAAAACAGTGAAAAGGTTTGGGAGATTTTCATTCTAGACCCCCTCTCGTTATGATTCCAGAATGGTTTCACTGAACCAACTGAACCAATAAACAAACAAATAGAAATAGAGATGGAAAGATTAGGTCGTCTCGAGAGTACTGAAGATAACATAGAAGAGAAAGTTGAAGATGAAGAATTTTTGTCTGACATCGAAAAACAAGCAGAAATTTTAACGCATAAGCCAACGCGAGTCCAACCTTCCGTTCGAAAGACAATAACCCCAACGAAAGTAAAAGCTACCGCTCTTGGTGATCCAAGCTCATCCTCATTTTTTTAGACAACTGAAAAGCCCTCGAGAATACACTGTTTGAATATTCAAAACTTCTCAAAACAATTTGGATACTCAGACGTTGTGGATTTTGCCAAAGGTATCAGTGATCTCCTCTGTGAATGATACTAGATTTTCTTTCAGAAAAATGCGAGTACATTGAAAACTATTACCCTCGATTGCCATGCCGAAACGTTGATCTATACATGAAAGAATGTGCACAGTATTACTAACTATTTATTTATGTACTTTAAGTTATTTGTTCACAAAATCTCAATCGTTAATAATATCTCCAAGTAGTAGAGATTCTATATTGTAAAGTTATGAGCCAGCCTCTACATACTGCATTCACTTAGCTATGTTATGCATGATAACTTTTTGTTCAAAATAAAATAAATATTGAGATGATCTAAATACTGATAATTCAAGGAAGCCTTTATCTGCTGATCAAAACAGAATGACATGATATCTCGCTTTGCAGTAGAGTTTTGAGTAAACTTGTGCAACCTAGAAAACGGTTTCCGACTTAGATTCAACTTCGATCGAGTGATGGGGTCATGTTATTATTCTTTTCGAATCATGGAAAACAGATTGGAATCAAATAGTTTTGTCGGCTGATGTTAAGATTAATCGAACTCGAACTTTTGTATGACTTCTGTTTGAAATCTGTGGATAGCTGAGTCAGGAAAGTACACGTTATCAAATGTTAGTCGAGGTATCGTGAGACGAGTTAGTAAAAGAATATGAAAATTGAATAACACAAGTAATCATCCAACAGCTAGAATGCCAATCTCAATGAAGTTTCCCACCATACCAAAGCAAAATAGAGAGGCGATTTTTTGAGAAATTGTACGTACGTGTTGAAACGTGTGGTTCAGTTTGCCATAATTCTATAGTTTGAAGTCTTTCTTATTTATACAGTAACATATTTAATGTTAAGCTGAGAATAAGCTTTGTCTTACTTAAAGCTCTACAGGTTTTTTAATTGAAATTTCATACTTGCTTTATTCTGGTTGTAGGTATGAGGAAGAAAGCTTCAGCGTTCAAAGAAGTTGCGCCCGAGTCTGCAAAAGAGGAAAAACATAAAGAGAGAGAAGGAACTCCTAACAATGGAGCTGAAGAGAAAATTCTGTTTGTAATTTCTTCTGTAACATCTATGGGTCAATGGTTAGTAGTACTATGAAATCTTAGTTAATTTCACTTTCAGTCCCTCTTCATGGCATGATTATCTTGAAACGGTTAAAGAAAACTCCTGGCGATTTATGTCATCTCCCTTCTCAGAAGTACGGCAGGGCAAGTTTTCCTTTAGAGTACTCTAAACCACTTTCTTCTCAGATATTATGAGCAACTCAGTAACACTTTCAAAGTTATCTCTTGGTTGTGTCTTCTTATGTGATTTATTCTCCGCTTTACACATGAAAAGCAATGACAAGCAACTCGGTTTTTCAATGGTATTCTGATAATCAGACAAGAGAAACGTATCTCCTTAAGACTACTCTAACCGATCGAGCTGATCGTCCTGTTACTGGTTCTTTCGGTGGGAATTACATAAGTTATAGAATGTTAAGTACAAGGTATTCTAGGATGTATCTATTTTTTGAATAACTTCTCTTTTCAGACTTACAAGTCTCGCCAAACAGAAAGTTCTGAATGTGCCTATATGCAATTTCGACAGCGTTCTCGATTTCATAGTCAGACAAACAGAAAAAAAGATTGATAGAATCGTTTTTGTAATGGACTCAAGCGTTGCGTTAGACGAGCAGGTTCTAATTTAGTAAAGTATTTCATTCATCGATGCTTCAGAATAAGCTAGCGTTAAAAAATATTCTCAGCCGAACAAAATGTCATTTCCTAATACTTGGAAGTAGCTTAGAAAAGCTCAATGAGGTGAAGCATCTTGTTGATAGCTCTTGTATGAATAGCACTTTCTCCATTTGGTAAGTAATTGCTACCCTTTTTTCAGCAGAGCTCTTTGTTTCAGTAAAAAACCTGATAATCTCCTACATTACGTGTATTACTTTACTGATCTCATACTAGATAGGAATCGTGTGCCTCTCAAGGGAGTCCCACTCCGTTTAGGCTCAAAGGCTCCAGTTAGAGTGAAGGTTGTATCGGGAGATTTGGTTTAAATAATCTTTCTATTATGGTTCAGCTTTTGCGCCTGACGAAGCTCGACAAAACTGCGAAGAGATTGATCAATGTGAAAAAAGAACCTGCAATTTTCAACAGGAAAGTAACAAGCTGGTCGTTGAAGAAGAGACAATGTCTCCGAAAGTGGAAGCTCTCTGGGAAGTTGGAAGCGAAGAACAGATTGAATCACATAGAAACGATAGAGATAGTAGGCTTCTTAGCTGCTTCAACGGGAGAGAAGTATATCAACGGAGTTGGAATGAATGAGTTGTTTGTGTTGAAGAATGGTAGTGTCAGACCTAAAACTTTGAAGATAATTTTGCTGTGTTTTAGCCTACACGGAAAAAGACTGTGATGCTGACAGTGCTGGGTTTTTGAAAAAAGTTAGTTTACCCCCTTTTTCCAATATATTCGTTTTGTTGACTAGATCCATACGTATACTAACAGTTTCATGGAAGTCTTCACGAAGTCAATCATAAAAACTAGTTCAGTAGCGTTTTGTCAAGTTCGGAGAGCCGGAAAGAAACCACGATACGGGTTCCTCATAGCGGTGGCTAATGGCATCCAAGGTTTATCTTGTTTAGCAAATTTCTGTTTTTACATGAAGTATTTTTTCAGCTAACGAAGAAGCTCCTTTAGCAGATTGCCATTTGGTTTTCGGTCTATTGTCAACTTCAATTCATTCTGAAACATGGACGCATCTGTTAAGTTTTGTTAGTGCAGCGGAGGTACATTCATCGAATAAAACTTCTTATCATGATGTATTACAGGCCAAACCAACTGCACCTCATGCGAAATCACGGCTCATCACTCATCCCAACTGGATCAATGGAGAATATTTATCGAGAGATACCGCTACTAAACTATCTAAGCTGATCAAGAAGAATAGTTTGAATGATGTGCATGAGGTGAAGCTGAGTTGCTATCTGCATATATACAATGTATCTTTGTAGGAGTTAAACCGAATGTATACTCATGCCCGAGTGATTTCGATTGGATATAGCTGGCTAAACGATATGCTGAAGAACATGATGGACCTAGCAAGAACTCCAGAAATGAAGAGCTTATTGGTTAACTATCAGTTGGAAGCAAGTGGAGTTTTGAGAAAGTGATAACTAATGAAGCATGTCTTAACTTGTCTTGGACGAAAAAAATCATAAAAATTTATTATTACTCTGGACATCTATGTAACAAATATTGCGCAAACAAAGTGATATTGGCCACATATATAAGGCATTTCGAACTGATTAGTAGAAGTTTCAATTTCTCAATGAATATTAGACAATAGTGACCCTATTTTGAAACTTTAAATAACTTGAGGAAGATTTGTGTAACCCATAACACGAATTCGATGAGACAACGGTATGTACAAATGAAAGAATAGTGATACGTTTTCGATTATTCCTCTTCTACTGTATTAGAGGTTCCTTTTCCTCAAATCTCACATTTAAGCGAGGGGATCCTGAACGCATACTGTTGGCTCGACTGGGAGCGTTGATGACTATTTTTGGGATGTTCAAGGAACGATGTTCCGTTTTTGGCGACATAGAAGCTCCTTTCCTTTGACGCGGAGAGTTTTTTTCTACTAAGGGCTCTTCGGAAGCAGATTTCATGGAGTCAACTTCAGACCACAAAGACAGAATGGAACTGCTTCGTACAGCTTGTTTTAATTCCGGTGATTTTTGCTCAACTTTTGGAGAAACGGTTGCATCTGATGAAGTCAAGTTAACTAGATTCATCTTTTCTTCAATGCAATCAATATCGGTATCAGATTCATCTCTCAAGCCCGGGATACCAGATATAGATGATTTAGCGTCGACGAAAGTGTCCTCATCTGTTTGACTCCGACGAGATGGACTTCTATCCGTGTTCCTACGTGATCGGAAGCTTGTTCGAACTGATCCAGAGGACCTTCGACGAGGATAAAATTCGTCTATTACAAAGTTCTCAAGCCTTGTGACCTGCAAAATAAAAATTATGATGATAGATTCAAAAATTGAGTGTAAAGTTAGAGTGAATCAGTTTGATGAACTTGAATTTACGTGACGAAAGGACAATTTGCAAGATGAATTCGTTTGAACGAAGCAAGCGCTAGAGGTGCGATACTGTTTTTAAGCAAACGAACTCTTCATTTATTGTAAAGTAAGGAAAGAAAAAGCCAGCTGACAAACGTTTCGTTTCAAAAACGTATTCAGAAAACAAAGAATAACACTTTGCATGTTTCACACTTTGTTTTGAATATGAAATGCTCTTACCTTGTCTATGGACTTTGCAAATTCGACCTCATTAAGCACCTTGAAATCGAAGTTCGTTGCATCATCGAGCAAATCACGGAACATTGGAATTGTTTTGTCCATCTGAAAAAAGAAAGTTAAAGCCTTCATAGAAGCAAAAGATTTTGCTTTCAGAAAAGCTCAAGAGCTGTTTTTTAGCTGTGCAAACGAACATTCAATGAGTGAGAAAGAGCTTTGAATCAATTCATGAGCTTCCAAATGATAAGAAATCTACTCACTTCAACTTCTCCGAAACGAACGCAAAGCATAGCCATGTCATAGAAGACGCGTAGACGAGATGGATGAATGGGTCTTCTCCAGATTCTACGACCCATTAAGAAGATTTCTGCATACTCCTGCCTAACATCTCTCCAGATGGATTTTTTCTCGTTCATATCAGTTAATATTGGGGCTAATCGATAATAACATGCATATATTGCAGCTTCATACCTTAAATGATAAATGAGTAAGAGTTTCTTTATGGTAAGACGTACCAGGCCAAATAACAATATTTCTTTGAAATATCATGTAATCTGTCGAGCCATTCGTAGCAGAGCTGACGACGTTCTTCCGGAGTACCTGCTTCTGGATCACTGTATTGGAAACGGAAAAGATCATTGGCTGTCCAGTCTTCTCCTTTTTTGCGAAGCTTGTTAAGTTCATCTGTAGGTCTTCGTTTTAATTTCGAAGCAACACGTCTGATTGGGCGATCTGAAGAAGAGTAAACTGTAATGTTTTCAAATGCTCATGTTGTCTTATTAATTAGACTGTTTCATTCAAATGGCAAAAATGGTGCCAACTTCAGTAGCACAACCGCTCTTGCGTCAGAGATGATAAAAATGAAAAGAGGAGGAGGAAATGAAAAAAGAAATTTCAAGTCGTTTATGCTAATAAGTTTGTTGCGAAAGCATCGAGTACACTCTTTTTTAATTTTTTTTCTGAAGTTACTGATGACGTCAAACAAAAACCAATTAATGCCAATAAAATAGAAAAATAAGATAGTCGGCTGTTCTAGCTCTAAACAGATTTTTTTTGAGTTCAACTGTAACAAGTGGGAGGATGAGATCATAAATGGTGGATGGGCGTTAACTAGCACTTTGCCTTAAAATCCCTTCGTTATGCTTTTGAGAACGCTGACGTCAAAGTGATGAGCAATTGTCTTAAAACATGAAATATGAGATTGAATTTTTTCATTTTACCGCCTTTGAGACAAAACGAGAAGTATTCAGTGTACAAGATGTTGTTAAACTGCTGGGAAGTGTAGGTGTAGCTTACAGAGTTCCGAGCTAATTTTAGTTTTAAAAATAGTTCAAATGAAAATAGCTTTCATTTTCCCGATTTGAATGAAACTTTTTGAATATTCCAAAAACATTATTATTACCTGGCAAAGGTTGCAGCTTTGCTGAACTTTTTCGACGATCATGATCAATCTCTGTGTCAGTTCGTATGCACTTTTTCATCTTCGTTAAGCATTTTCTATATTTAGACATACACATAGATAATAAGGAGGTTTTAGCCTTTCGCCATTTTCGACGAAAATATCCTTGTTTTAACTGCATTTTCTGAAAAGAACAGATTATTCAATCCATAATAAATGTTTATCCTTTTCTGCTCAAGAAAAGTATGGGTTGAGAGAGGGAGAGAGAGAAAGGTATTGAAATTGCTTTCACTAAAGAAAACGTTAAACGCATAAGGTTTTTTGTCAAGCTGATGACAGTTTGTAGCTTAGAAGGATCATATGCATTACAAATGAGGTTCAATTCGCCCGACGAATGCTCGGAAAGAAAGAGATCACTTTTGAATTTTCATATGCAGGAAATTTTTTTTTGACTGGATCAGTTTTTTTTTGCAAGCAGATGAAGCTGACTCAACAAAAAAAAACGTAAAGATTAAGCTTTTGCAGAAAAGAAAAATGAGGAACAGCCTGTTGAATAAAAATGAGCCATGAAAAAGCCAGATTGAGATGATAGATAAGGAAGCTTCATCTGACTAATCAATTGCTTCATTCGTGCTATGAAATTAATGAATATGAAATAAAAAAAGCTATTTGAATGAAAAAAAGTTTAGAAAGTGGTCGAGGGGAGCAATAGAAAGCAGAGATCAAATGGTTTGGAAAGACAGGCTTCATCATGATCATCTGATGTCCCGCCTCTTTAGCTGATGGCTAACATAGGTTCGAGAAGGGATGTGAGATGAAGCACATCTCTCCATTATATTTAATGGTTTAATTAACTATAAATTAGTAAATAGCATACATCCGTGTTTTGTTTTCTTTTGTTGTCATGAAACAACGTAGAGTGGGGAGAGGAGAGCTGAAGCGGGGGAGGAGAAGGTAGAAGAAGGATTAGAGATGTTATACAAGGGAGCCTCATATTGCAGAAGAAAGAAGAAGAAAATGAGCAACTCATCCCAATCAAACCTACTTTGAGAGCTGATTTCGTGGCTAATCCCAATTTGGGAAACATCATTCAAACTTTGTTTTCTGGAAGAAGAAGAAGTTCCATACTCGTCGTTATAGAAAGAACATGAAACGGTAACAGAAAGTTGACAATACAAATACAGATGAAGTGTGAAGAGAAAAAAAAGAGAATAATTCCTCTTAAAAGCGATAGCATTACGATTTCCGAAGTATCTTAACGGTTGAAAAGTAAGAAGACACGTGAAGAAGTGAAAGCCGATGAAGACATGAGGCGGAACTTTTGTTGTTCTTTTCGTGCAGAATTTCATTCTTTTACTTTCTCTCTTCTTCTTTTTTTCTTTATACTCTCTAATACACTCTTTATTATACATTATATTTCATGGAAATTTTGCTTTGAACTCAAAAATAGCGACAGACTTTTGTTCGTTGACGAGCTATCCGTCACTACTGTGAACGAGAGGGCGAAGTGTTTGTAAAATGATAAAAGACGATGTTCTTTTTCCCATTAGAAAAAAAAATAATTTTGTTTACTTTTTCTCGTTTTTATCAAATAAAACATTATTTTCTTTGAATACTTTGTCAATTTTCTGACAAAAAATAGCTGTAAAGAGACAAAAAAGTTTTTTCTGACTTCTTAGAATTCTAACTTCTGCCTTCGCTCTCTCTATCTCTCTCCCTCTCACTCAATTATTTCTCGAAAATTGTATTTCACACGACTTCAATAGCTGGGTACAGAAGAAAGTATATCAAAAGGGTCTTGAAACATACGGACAACTGTTCTTTTTTCCTCTTCTCTTCATCATGTTTCGAAACAACTGATGGCTTTACCTGCTTTCTCTCTTTCAAACGACTCTATGAGTTTCTTCATTTTCAGCTCAAACAGCCCTATATCATGAGACATCTACTGTCATCTGTGTTTCGTCACAACGACTACGACTTCATCAAAAATTTTAATACGAATAGTGAGTAGACGGAAAGCTGACAAAATTGAAAGAGATGAGATGTGACATTTTGAAGCTGAACTATTCATGATTCACTGATTTAAAAGAAAAACTGAGAAATAATAGGAGAATCGTGGAGGGTCAGATATGACGAGTATGATTTTTAAAGCTACATGCGACTTCTAGAACTTCGATTAGCTATTTCATTGAAATCAGAAGATACGTTCAGTTCAGCTGCTTCAACTCATTTTTGAACATTCGAGAAAAATGATACTTAGCCCACTTATAGCGCCATATTCACAAAAAGGTCATATGGAGAATTGCAAGAAAGGAAATTCTTTCATGGTGGTCTAAGCATGCTTTTACGGATTCTCAGTCGGTCGCCATTTGCATATAGTAACCTTTTTTGGGTTCTCTTTTTCTTTGTATCTCTCAATTTGCGCCATCTTCAACTGAAACTCCTTATACAATCTGTCGGCAGAATGCAACTTGGATGTTTTGAGTGCCCTTAGGGAGAACACAAGTGATGACGTAATATGACATCATTCAGCATGCACTACATGCTTCGTCCAGAAAACTACCAAGACACTCATCTTCATCTTCGTTTATCTGGTTTATCTGACAGATTTGAAAGTATGATTATGGAGAGAGTGTTTGGGAATGCGATTCGTTTTTTTTGAAAGGAGAAACAAAAAAATAGGAGGTTTTCTTTTCAGCTGACTCATATACACTGGCACTGAATGAGCCCGAGACGATTTCATCAGTTTCATTGGTGAACAGATGACCGGACACAAAGGATACTTAACCGAAACGAAACGAAGTAAATGAGGAGGTGGAGGAAGGTCATGTCAGCCAACCATTTTGCTCGATGGAGGTGTTAATTACTTTTCAACAAAAAGAAGTTTGTTCTCTGCTTTATGAAAAACTTTATAAAGGCCAGTTCATTAAGAAAATTGAAAATTAGCTTTGTCATTGGGTCATCATTTACGTATTAAGCTTATAAGTCACATGAAAGAAACGTCCTTCAGCTTGATGGATCAAGTACTTTTAAAGTTTAATTGAAAGAATATTCTAAGATGAAACATAAAAGACTTACCGTTGGGTCATAGAATTCATCGCATATTTCGGAAAGATGGTCATCATCATCTGATGACTGGTTGCAACTTGTTGAAGCCATAGTGTCCATCGGAATCGTTCTAACTGAAGCTTCTGAAGCTATTATGCTGAGCACGAGGTTTTTAACTGAGCTGAAAAGAGAGGAAGCTTCACGTGCTCGGAAAATATGAAAAATGAAGAAGAGAAAGAATGGTAAGTACAAAGGTGAACATGTGCATTCGACAGAGAGAAGAAAAGACAAATTTCAGTTTGATGAATCGTATGAGGTCAGGAAGTTCATATACTCACGTTCAAAAAAATTTTTCCTTATTTCAAACTGAAGAGAACTGCTTTAAAATATTTCTTGGGAGGAAATGCTCTCATTCATTCACATGACACTAATTTTGTTATTTTTGTCTTTTATGAGATTAAAATACGGAAGCAGAACTAAATTGTTCCAATTCTGGAAACTGTGATTGGCGACGACAAATTATTTGATTTGAACTGATCTTTTACTAGGAAGACAAGAGCTGACCAAAGCATTGCAGACAACACAAAGCATGGAAGTTAGATGGGAAATCAGAGAATGGTGTGTATTAGAGAGGCAAGAACGAAGACAAAATGAGAGAGAAGAGAAAGATTTTGCAAAAGAAGATGAAGCTAGTGCGGAATAAAGTGAGCAAAGCCACAGCAGTGATGATGGTCCTGGTGGTGATGATGGTGGTGTGTAATTAGAAAATAATAAAAGAATAGCCGACAATGACTGAGAGAGAGTAAGAGAAAGACAAAAGAAAACGAGAGGGAGGAGGTAAAGAATTGCTGGTGACAATAATGAGAAATCCAAAAAAATAGGAAGAGATGAAGCGGATGGTGGCATGAATGGTAAGTGAAGGGATCAGCTTAAGCCTCAGACCGAATATGGTTTGTAAGATTTTTTCATCGAATATATATCATCGGATGGAGAGATGAAAGAAGAGATATAAAAAAAGAGATTCTGCAAAAGATTCATATTAGTTTGAATCTTGAGCCTCATAGTGGCTTCTGCTGTCCCTCCTCATCCTTTCATCTTTTTCTTCCAACTTTTCCGTCTTCTGTTCTCTTCCGTTATTTTCATCTCTTTTTATTCTCTGCTTACGTAGTTGATCTCTCTGTGTTCCACTCTCTCGCTCTCTCCGCTTTCTCTCTTTTCTCTTACTCTGTTTCAAAAGTAAAGTGCATTTTCTATGCCATCTTCAAGGATCAGTACCATTATGGTCAACCCGATCTCGTTGATGTTAGACCATCAATCATTCGGTAACCTCCGCTATTATAGTTAAACTTAGTTAACTATATTTTGAAAGCTTAAACAAAATTTTAAAAGATTACTCACTAATCGTTACTGCAATATTAAAGGAATAGAGAGTTGGTAAGAGAGTGAGAGGATCATAAAAGCCCAGAAGGCTAATTGCTGTCGATGATTCAAATGGTATAGAATCTAGACGCCACTGAGAAGATGGATTAGGAAGTTGACGTTTGAGCAGCAAATTAAGGCTAAAGAAGAAGATGGTGGGTTGGTTCATGTTTTTTGAAAAGAGAAAGCTCTTACACTACCTAGCAATTTATAAAAAAATCAAAGGATAAGATAGGGAATATGAGGAGCATAGAAGGAGTGGAAAAAACGAGAAACGAAGATCATTGGAGAAAGAGGTTTGATGCATCAAAATAAGCAGAGAAACATCTTTTTATGGAGAAGAGGGAAATAGATTAACTTAACAAGAAGAAAGCAGTCTGGAGAACAAAAGTATTTTAAGATTTCAGCAGTTTTCGGGAAGAGAGTACATGATGAAAAGAGAGAAAGATAGAGGAGAGTCCATCTACTAGAGATCAAAAACGTTTTCAGATCATTTGCGATCATTTATCAATATTTTAAAATAAGATAAAACATGTCGGATAAGATCGAAGTTTTGGAAAAATCAAAGATAAACTTTTCTGAAACGTTCAATCATTTTACCCACGAAAACAGATGTAGATGAACATTCTTATTTCATCTCTCACGAATGCAGAAGCTGCAGCAGCAGCAGCAGCAACAGCAACAGCCAAAGAAGAAGATGAAAACGAAGAGAAAAATTCAAATTATAAGGAATAGTTCCTATTGCACAAGTCTTACAAATGAAATTGACACTTGTTTATTTATTTTTCATTAAAGTTTTTTCTTAAATAATTCATATGTTGCTCCGTAAACTGAGACGACGTTCCTCAGACACAACCGTCCTTCATCTAACCATTATCCAAAATAAAATGAAAAACACTATCATTGATTGATTTCATTGAAAGGATCATGTGAGCCAAACTAACATTTGAAGAGTATTAAGAAGAATATTATATAAAATATACATATAGAAATGAATATGGACATTGAAAGCACGTGAGATATTCACGTGTGCTTTAATCTTTCCATCCATACTCTTGTACTATGCACTTTATGAGTTCATAATTCAGTGGGTCATTAATGAATTTCTTAGCTTAAGTCTACAGCTTCATTAAAATCTCGTAAAAGTTATATCTTTTCCAAAGAACATCTTTTTGTGATGTTTGAAAGATATTTTAAAAGTCAAATAATAAAAATACGAAAAATTGAAAGAAATACTTGAAAATGACTTTCGATCCAATGATTTTCAATGAAGAACGAAAGAAGGGAGGGGGGGGGGGGGGGGGGGGAAAAAAAAAAAAAA